ACTCATTTCGAAAATGAAAAACCCATTTATTGTGGAGTATAAGGACTCCTGGGTGGAGAAGGTTAGTTCTGCGGTTAATTATTTCTCTTCACGCCTTTAATGCCTTTTCTTTTGGATTTTCTGCAAGTGTGGGATATGGAGATCACTCTTTCAATTTTGAATAAAATAATACCCCCATTTGTGCCACTGTAGTTGGTATAGTTTGACTAGGAGTTTTGTAAATATTTTAAAAAATTGTATATCTTTATTGTTTATTTTGTCAGGATAAAGTAGTAAATAAACTTAATAACGTATAGATCAGGTGAAGAACATTGTATCAAGTTCAAAGTAATATAATCTAGTCTTATTCGAAAATAATTTAATTTAATTTAATTTTTTTTTTTTTTTTTGGAAACAATAAGCAAGTGGATATCTTTTTTCACTTCGAATCACATGAAATGTCCTGTTGTTGATCTGAATTACTTGCATTCTCATTTTCTGTAGATTGACTTGCAGTGCTGCTTGCTTCCCTAGCAAGTTATGTTAAACGTACAAGTATGAAATCTTATTGATGTATTGCTTTCACTTTCAGGGTTGCTATGTGTGCATAATCATAGGTTACTGTGAAGGTGGTGATATGTAAGTTACTTTAGAAGTTGAGATTGAAATGTTCTGGGTATATTAGCATTTTTTTGACCTGGAAAGTATTCATAAGAATATCATCAGTGCAGTGACCCTCCTTTGTTACATATATTTTGCAGGGCAGAAGCAATAAAAAGGGCAAAGGGTATCCACTTCTCTGAAGAGGTGAAATATTTACTACTCACTGCTTTTACTTCTCATGTTGAAAATCAGTTAAGAGTTACTTGTTTCTAACTTCAGTCATAAACTGTTTATAGAAGCTATGCAGGTGGCTTGTTCAACTTTTAATGGCTCTTGATTACTTACACATGAATCATATCCTTCATCGAGATGTCAAGGTCAATTGCATTTTCTTTTTCATGCTGAATGTCTAAATAATTGCTTCTGAACTTTTGGAGCAGTATCTTATCTATTTTTTAATATCTTTCTTGCAGTGTTCAAATATTTTTCTAACCAAAGACCAAGACATTCGTCTTGGTAAGTATGCATTTTCTGTTCGGTTGTATGTGCTTATTGAAAGTTACACAGATAATTTTCTGAAGCACATGTGTGCAATCCTCTTACAGGTGATTTTGGACTTGCCAAGATGTTGAGTTCTGATGAACTTGCTTCCTCTGTAAGATACATTGGCTGTATTCTCTATGTTCTTAAAATCTCTAGTTTTTGCATTTCTTCAATTGATTTCTTGCTGCACTTTTATTGCAGATTGTTGGAACTCCCAGTTATATGTGCCCTGAGCTTCTTGCTGATATACCTTATGGCTCCAAATCAGACATATGGTCTCTAGGTATGTGAATTAGATGTCAGACATCAAACACATACAAGCAAGAGTTGTAGGTTCATGTTTGAGAGATGAATTTGGCATACACATACTACTATTTTATGCACTGATATCAGTAAGATCTTTTCATGTAGGATGCTGTATATATGAAATGGCTGCACAGAAGCCTGCATTCAAGGCATTTGTAAGTTTCTTTATACTGTTTATCTTTTTCCTGTCTTGTGTCAAGCATTCTATGCTTCACTAACCTATTAATCATCATTGTGAAAATGCAGGGGACTGTGTTTACTTCATTTTTCCAGTTTTCATTTCTATAGTTTTTCATTTCTCCAGTTTTCCATTCTCCATTTTCTGTTCACTGTTCTCTGTTCTCTGATTTCAAATTGGAGAAATATACCAGTAAATGTAAACACATTCTTTGTTCTCCTGTCTCCAGAAAAAAACTGGAGAATTTCTCCAATTGGTTTTTTTTTTTTTTTTTTTTTTTTTTCCAACAAATTTCTCTTCTATTTTATTTGAGCTCTTTTGTGTATGCCAATCCATTTTGATATGGGAAAGGTAAACTCAGCAATGCCTGACAATACCATATTTGTTTGTTTTTCTTTTCTCCCATTAACAGAAGTACTTCTTATAATATTTGGTACATTGAGTTAGGATTGGATTTTTGGTTGAGGTATAGAATTTTATCTTAACAATCTGACTGGGTTTACAGTCAATCTGTTAAAATCTGGAAGTGCTTATTGAATGAAAATATTTCATAAGAAGTGAAGTCTGTATCCATGTGTTCAAGCAATTTGTCTTTCACCTGTTTACTAATTTGGTTCCCAACCTTGTACTCTGGAACTAATGAAGTATCCTACCTTTTGTCAAAGGATATGCAAGCTCTAATCAACAAGATAAACAAGTCTATAGTGGCACCACTTCCTACAAAATATTCTGGTCCATTGTAAGTTCTCTTTATTGGTATGAAATGTTTTGGTTTAAAAGAATTACTTATATGATGTATTTGTTTAAATGAAATGCTTTAGCAGTACCTTTTTTCCCTTCTAATAATAGGTACCACTCTCATTCTCATTTAGCAAGCTTTTAATTAGAAAATATTCTCTCTAACTTGATGCTTATCTGTTTCCATGTGTATGTGTAAATTTGGGTAACCCATAAATAGCCACCCAACAATGAGCACCATCAAACATTGCACATGGTTTGTTCAATTTAAGGCCTTCTAATTGAGATTCAGAGTATTTTAATAATTAATTAATCTAGAGTTTTTTAAAGATGTACAAAATCCCAAAATTTCCACAATATCTGACTTGCTTGTGAAACTCAGTTCAGCTCTTATTTCCTTTGGTTGCTTGCTATGCTCTACCTAACTTGTTTTACTTATTTGTCTTCCAGCCGAGGTCTTATCAAGAGCATGCTGCGGAAAAATCCTGAATTACGGCCTAGTGTATGCACTGTTCTATTTCCACATTTTACATAAATAGTTGCCATCAGAACAGACATGCTATTGCCTTTAGATAATCCAAAATTTTGATTAAATAAACATGTGACTTGTAAAAAATAGACATGCTGATTCAAATCACAATTGTATGTTTGACATGGCAGGCTGCAGAGCTTCTTAGGCATCCACACCTTCAGCCTCATGTGATTAATATTCATCTTAAACTCAATAGCCCGAGGCGCAACAGTTTACCAAATTACTGGCCCGATAATGATATAAAAAAATCCAGATTTACAGGACAAGAACATGTTCCTTATTATAGAGAGAAGAGGCTGTCATGCGGCAATGACAGGACTTTGAATCCCAGTGTTTCTGAAAATGATCATGACTATTCATTTTCTGGTCAACAATATCGTGATAAGCCAAGTAGAATCACTGCATTGTCTACTGGAAGCACTGAAGGAGGAACCATCACGAAAAAAGTTACTACAAGGGCTTCAAATGCAGTCAAGAATCCCAAAGCAACCCTGACAAAAGCTTCTCCTACTCCAAAGAGACAAGCATCAGCACTGAAACACAATGAGCTGGTATGATTCTGAACAATTCTTGATATGACTTGTTCAGTAACTAAAAATGTCATTCCTACATAATTTTTTTGTCCTATTATTTCATTAAAAAAAAAAGCTGAGAAAGGTATGTTCCAGTGGTTCTCATTATTCCATTTTGGTAGCAATGGTTAACATAAGAATGGGTTTTCCTGTCTGTCCACATTGACCATGATGCTATTACATGTATAGACTGAAGTTCACCAAAGGAAAAGAATTAAGAAATTGAATCTCATTGCACATCCCACCTAAAAAGAAAGGGGAAGCTTGAATCTGTGTTTGCTTATATGAAATAAATAAATAAATAAATAAAAACAGTGGAACTGTAATGGACAAATTAAGATACAACAAATGCCATCATTTAGTGATCAATGCTCTTCATTTGTTATACACTCATCGAGGATTTTGATTGACTGCTTCTGCAACAAATATGTTTGTGTGTATTATTCTGACAATGTATTTGTGAATAGTATCTGATTAGCATAGTGCAACAAATATGTCTTCATAATCATCCTTCCTATTGGATATTTATAATGCATTGGTTTTTTGCGTTGAAGGGGTATGGGTGGGGAAGGGGCAGGAGGTGGTGAGTGGGTGTTGAGGAGACTTGTAGCATTATATTTCCTTTATTTGCCTCCTTGATATATATACACTTTGCTATACAGGTTCCTACTTCAAGAACTTTGGTGAAGAGATCTGTTTCTACAACTCGTAGAGCATCTTTGCCCTTGACCACCAAAGCTGCAGCTCGAGAGTTACCTCACAGGCCCAGTCTTGGTGTCCTTGATTGCTACAGGTCTCCAGATGTTTCTGTCAATGCCCCCAGGATGGACAAGATGCTTGAGTTCCCCTTAGCCTCGTACGAAGACCCTTTCCATCCTATCCGTAAAACTTCATCAACTTCTGTGCAAGATTCCTCTGGGTCGCCAGAAGCAGACTGTTCAATCATGAAAGATAAATGCACAATCCAGATTCCTGACAGCAAATCTGATAAATTGAGCTACACGGGTGGTTGGCAAGGATTTACAAGCCCCATCCTGCCAATGGATAGAGAGGATGGAAGTGATTGTTCTGATCAAAATGCAACTGCTGGTGCATCAAGTCGAACCTCATCAGACCAAAGGCGTCGTCGTTTTGATATGTCATCTTACAAACACAGAGCTGAAGCATTAGAAGGACTGCTTGAATTTAGTGCAAGGCTGATGCAAGATGAAAGGTTTGAAGAACTGGGCGTTTTACTAAAGCCCTTCGGGCCAGGGAAAGTTTCTCCTCGGGAAACTGCTATATGGCTATCCAAGAGCTTTAAAGAAAACACGTCCAAACCAGAAGATCAGACCCTATAAGCACCCAACACGTGTAAAGTAGTCTTTGCTTAAACAGTTTTAGGTCTTAAGACATTTGTAAAATTGTAAGTGGAAGCATTCCTAGAACCTGATATTGTAGGTTATGTAGCTTAGGATTTATCCAGCAGTTCCTTCTAGTAAGTACCCTAGTAATTTCATTGCGTACAGCATACCAAATTGCTGTCTTGCTGATAGGCTGAGGAAACATCTTTTTTTCTAATGTTAGCATCCTTCGGAGTCATTAATGAACAGCTTAAAGCTGATGGTAGATTTGTTTTTCTGTCTTTCCTTCTATGGTACTATGTGACTATCACTGATTATATGATAAAATCATCGTTACATCCCTACATATTGGAAGGTGTACCTTCTATCTCAGATTCGTGTTGTAAGCCTTCAACCGATGGTGTTCTGATATGCTTTTTCTTAATGCCCCACTTGGGTCTTTGCCTTGGCTCACTCTGTGATCTAGCCTTTGCTCTTGAGGATTCGGTATTGGACATGTAACTTCTTGCATATTGGGAATCAGGAAACATATAATTCATACTTTCTGATCGTGGAATGGGTTGTTTTGTCCTTCCAGGCTTGGGACTTTGCAAGAGACCTCTCTGTGACAATCTGTCAGATAACTCCTCCAATGGCCTGTCAAATGTTATTGTACTGATTTCACTAAATGTTGAGGGACTTGGACATATGCTTTGAAGCCTTTGATGCTCTCTTTCCGAGATAGAATGCCTCCCAGGTTGAGAGCTTGTCAATCCATTTCCATTTGGTCCACCATGTCCATGGTTTTTGTGCAGGCTTCTTCTCCTGGATATACTCTCTTTTTCATGGCTACTCATATATTCCTGTGTTTCAGAGATTACAGGGTAAGCCACATTTCCCATATCTTCAAGTTATTGTTTTGAATCTTTATCAAAGAGAGGGTTGCAGAAACGTAAAAGAGGCTTACAGTATTAGAGGTTCTATTGATTAGCTGACTTCTTGGAGCTGAATCTTTGTGAATTGGCCATTTTTTGAAGGAAAGTTCAGTTTCATCAGCTATATGAGCCCGTTGAACTCGGGCTCTTAACTGAATCGCCATCAAAGAGTGCAAGCACCTGATCATATCAGCTGTCTGTTTTCGCACCTGATGACCCCTCACAAGTGCTTGTAGCTTCACCAAGCTCCTTAGAGCTCGTAACGCCTTCCTTGCCTGCAAGGAAAATGAAAATTTCTCTCATTTTCGTATCATATACCGTGACTTATCCTCCATTTTAGTTACAAGGATCATAGTGGATAAACTTACCAGATAAGATCGAAAAGCAGCTTGAATCCTAATGGCAGCTTCCACTTCAACAGCAGCTGTTTTAGCAGCCTCATTTCTTGCTGCCAGAAAGGCTTTGGCATGGTTTTGCAGAATCTCAAACTCCAACAATGAGGCCTGAGCTTTGAGCTGAGCAGTGAGGGCCGAGTCGAAGGATCTAATGCTGTTATGAGTCATGCTGTCCGAGCTTGAAGATCTCTTGAAGCTCCATCTCCTTTTCACCTTTGAAGACGATGGCACAATCGCAGGCGAGGTCCCTAAACTCGCTGCAGAAACCGAACCCTCATTATCCTTCTCCTTTTTTCCCATCAGAAAGTTTCTGATCCATCTGCTTGCCTTCCCCATATCTGGCATTCTCTCAATATCTTTGAAAACTCTACCAAAATTGTGGTCTCTCTTTTTCTCAAAATATTGTGCATATATAAGAAGTTTGCAGCCAAGTCAACTGGCTTCCTGTTAAAGTTATCATATTTGAGCAGACAATTATATATTAAGGCCTGCAATGGCTCATGGTAGCTAGCTCTCGAGCTCTTTACTTCATTGACATTTTGGGGTTTTTTTAGTATTCAAATAATATGGTTGGTGAATGTGAATCTTATATATTCACTTAGGCCTGCAATTGACTTCCCCCTTGTGCCATTTGCCACTAGCTAACATGAATATTTGGCTGTTCACTTTTTCATATATTTGGATCTTTTACAACTAACCACATTTTTTCTTCCATTTTTAATGCAAGGATCACCTCCATGTCAACTTTGACCATGAATATTGGATAATGCCAACATATGTAAATACAATTAAATTCCGGGAATTATATTAATTTTAGAGAGAAACTTGTCAAAAAGATATCATGCCTATTATAACCACTGAGAAGCGGTGACATTTTTGTAAAGGTTAATGTCATTCTTATTTTTTATAATAATAGGTACGGTTGGTTTTACGGCTTAGGGCAGTCGGATGGCGGGCCAACGCCCAACAATATCGTAAAATATTAATTCCATTTATAGGAAGCCTTGTTCTTGTTTTAATTAACCTGTCCATACGTAAATATATTTTTGTGTGCCATTTTATTTTTCTTAGTAATGATTTCTTTATTTCATTCAGATTTTTTGAGGTTATTCATGTAATCAAATTGTCAAGCTGTCATACGTACTCAAAGCATGCTGGTCTTGATTGCAAGCTAGATTAATTAGTTATTATTGGATGCACTCTCAAGTTTTATCTAATGTAGATCCAGAATTCATAATATTTATAAAATTGTAGTTACTACATTTTCTCTTAATTTGTTGTCATTATTCCATGGGAAACCTTGATTTTGCTTTTAACCTGTCCATACATAAAAACATTTATGTGCGCCATTCTATTATATATATTTTTCTTAGGGCAATCACAAATCCACAATAGTAGTTTTTGAGGTTGTAATGCTGATCTAGAAAAGAGACTGGAGATAAGAGAGAAGGAAATGGGTCATTGTGCAAGAACCTGGTTTTCTTTTTGTCTCCAAAGTTAGACTCACCAAAAAAAAAAAAACATAAAAACTTATCCATTACCGCATGAAAAGCACCAGAATGCGTTCAACCGGGTACGTGCATTCCACGTGTTAATCTGCAACTATTTTGTTTTTTCAAATTTTGTTTTACTTTTTTTTTTTTTTTCCACCTGCATCTTCTCTTTTTTAGGCATCTATTTTCTAGTCAGGCATGCAAAAACTCCTCAAAATCTATGCCTAATGAAATTTTCAAGCTATCAAACACAAAGCATGCTGGTCTTCAATATCTCATCTATTTCCTAATTACACCTGTAAAAACTCTTCAAAATCTACCCCTAATGAAATTTTCAAGCTGTCAGACACAAAGCATGCCGGTCTTCAATATCTCATCTTCCATTTGGATCTGTGGCCCAACGGACCAACCATATAGCATGTAGTGAGCAAAGCTAAGCTGTCAATTGATTGCCATTTATGAACCTAACAAACACCACTCACCGCTAGCTACCTCACTCCATAGTCCATACTATATACTATTCATGCTTTTAATGTATCACCTTCCCGGCCGGCCGACCATTTCCTACCTCTAAACTTTAATGATATGGTCGCATATAGTCTAACATCACATTTCTTCAATTCACACTAGCTAGCTAGCTACCTGCATATTCATATTGCACTACCTACATTATATAGTATAAAAGCTAGCAAATGGATTGTGGTTGAGTGGAAGAGACGTACTCATTCCTCCTTAATCAATAGTCAAGTGTTCGATCATTGGCTTTGAGTATGAAGCCGCCTTAAATCTCCAAGCCAGCTGTCCCACTCAAAAGTGATACATACAATTCAGCAATAGGATTAGTTCTGTGTCTGACGGTAAAAACTTTGGGTGCACCAAAAAAAATAGTGTAAAGCTAGGGAAGCAAAAAAGAGATTCTATATATACTTTACATACATACATATATGTCAAGTTCTCTAGTCTAAATTGAAAGTCTTTCACTTTGAGATTATTGAGAATAATGGAAGAGGGGAAGGGGAGTAGAGTGAGAGTTCACTCAAAGTTGAGAGTGATGTCAAGCACTCCCATTGAACCCAATAAGGTCCATAAGCTCAGCGCATTGGACCATGCAATGGCTCTCCACACGGTCCACGTAATCTTCTACTACCGAGCCAACCCATTCCATGAAGGTCCGATGGAGCTTGACATGGATAACCTCAGGATTACGCTGTCGGAGCACCTGTGCCTTTACCCGCCGGTGACCGGCCGGTTGGTCCGGGATGGGGAGGGTAACTGGGAAGTGAAGTGCAATGATGCCGGAATCAGGATGGTGAGGGCGAGTGTAGGGGTCACTGTTGACGAGTGGCTGAGATCGGCTGATGCGTCGGAGGAGCGGGATCTGACGGTCTGGGAAAACATGCCTCAAGATCCAATCATTTGGTCTCCCCTTCGAATCCAGGTACATCATGAAAAAAAAATAAAAAAATGAAAGATTTGATCATAATTTGATTTTGGTCTTGTTTAATAAATGACAAATCCGCTAAAAACATGGCGTTTTGGGATAAAATATGTCTTTTCCCAAAATGCTCTTAATAATAATAATAGTAGTAGTACGTAGTAGTAGTAATATATTATTATTATTATATTGTTGTAGCAATGTTTTAATAAGTCTTTTTACATCGTCTCAACCGCTAATAGTAAACAACTAATTTTATTAAATGTCTTTACAAATCACTAATACAATTCACTGGTCAAACTTGCTGACACAATAATCCGTTATTCGCTGATTGCTAAACAAGATTTTTATCACATGGCACATGCATTGATTTTAGAATAAATTTTGTGTAAGACTATTTTATGTGAGAAGTGTATGTAACATGTTTTAAATAAAATGTAATATTTTTTATGGATACATAAAAAAAGTATTACATTTAATTAAAAAATATATTACATTCATCTCTCATGTGAGACGATTTTACATAAGACCTATTCTTAATTTTATTGTAGTCGATCTATATATTTTTTGAAGTAAAATCATTATATTAATGTAAGTCAGAGTCGGTGTGATCTATATAATTAAATTCTATCACAGTATCACTCTATAACGTGCTAAGCTTCCTTGATAAAGATTATAATTGCAAGTATAGTAAACAATAAACTCTTGGAATATTCCAGGGTACCGAACCATATGGGTAGGGTATTAAGTATTAATGCATATTTATTTATTTTACTATTCGTTGGGGCCGGGATATGGATATCACATTAAAGTGCAAATAGATTTGCCAATCTCTTGATGGAACCCATTACTCAAACATAATTTTTTTTTTTCATTATAAATAACAATATTGGCTATTATTTTTTTTTTTGAAAATATATTGGCTATTATTTAATTTAGGAATAAGGTTCAAATTGGCCACTGAACGTAACCTAAAAATGCAATTAGGCCACTGAACGAAAAAAAAGTGCAATTAGGCCACTGAACACTTCAAAAATGTGCAATTAGGCCACTGAACTCTCCAAACGTATGCAATTTCACCGGATAGCAGGTTACCATCAATTTTAGCAGGTTACTTGCTTACGTGGCAGCTGAGTTGGCATTTTTAATAATTTTTAATAATTAATTTTAATAATAAATTTTATAAAAAATTGAAAAAAATTAAATAAACAATAAAATAAAGTCGTTTTTATTTTTTTAAAAAATTTTTAAATAAAAATTTATTATTAAAATTTATTAAAAATGCCAACTCAACTGCCACGTAAGCAGATAACCTGCTAAAATTGAAGGTAACCTGCTATCAGGTGAAACTGCACATTTTTGGAGTTTTCAGTGGCCTAATTGCACTTTTTTTCGTTCAGTGGCCTAATTGCATTTTCAGGTTACGTTCAGTGGCCAATTTGAACCTTATTCCTTTAATTTATTAGATTTGTTAGATATACGTGTATACAATTTTTTGGCAAATTATGTTGTGCAACCGTTGCACCATGCATGGTGCACACGGTTGCATAAACGATGTCGTTTTAACTAAAAATGTGCGTTCCACTTTTAAAAAAAAATCAATTTTGATTTCAGGCAACAGCATTATGTTGTGCATAATTTGAAATATATATCCAGAATCAATGAACTAAAAATCCAGAATCAATGAACTATATATCCAGCATGAATGAAAAAAAAAATCAGTTTCGATTTCAGTGTAAATATCAAGAATAAATGAACTAAAAATCCAGAATGAATGAACTAAATATTCATAATGAATGAACAACATAATGCTGACATGCTGTTGAGGTGAATCGAAATTGAAATTTTTTTTTAAGTGGGACGTGCGTTTTTAGTCAAAACGAAGTTGTTTTTGCAACCGTGTGCCACAGGGTTGCACCGCAAATTATGTTGTGCAACCGTGTGCACCATGTATGGTGCACACGGCATGGTGCACACGGTTGCAAAAATGACATCGTTTTGACTAAAAACGCGCGTCCCACTTAAAAAAAAAAATCAGGTTCGATCCCGACAATAGCATTTTTTTGTGAATAATTTGAATTATATATCCACAAATTCATAACTATATATTCACAAATTCATAACTATATATCCACAGTGAATGAATAACACAAAATCCATAATGAATAAACTAAACATCCACATGAATGAACTAAATATCGACAATGAATTAACTAAATATTCACAAATTCATAACTATATATCCACAATAATTCATAACTATATATCCACAATAATGTTGTTGAGGGGAATCGAAATTGATTTTTTTTTTTTTTTTTAAAATGGGACGCGCGTTTTTAGTCAAAACGACGTCGTTTTGCAACCGTATGCACCATGCATGGTGCACACGGTTGCACAGCATAACTATTGGGGTTGCACAGCATAACCATTGCAATTTCTTGACGGTTGAACACACCTTCTGTGTAGCTAAATGATTTTGAAGGTGGCGGGCTAGCTATTGGACTCAGCTTTACCCACACGCACGCAGATCCAACAAGTGCAACCTTATTTTTCAAATCTTGGGCAGATTTTCACAGAGGCGGCTTGCCAATTCTTCAACCTCCCATATTCAATCTTCCTGCATTCACCAATCATCCCACCGTTAATCCAAGTTTAAAAACCTCAGAATATTATATCAAGAAATGCAAAGAAACAGAAACTGTGCAGTCAACCAAAATGCCCACACTCACCTTCAGATTCTCAGGCTCAAAAGTCATGAAATGCCTGTCCCAAGTCCATCCCATTTGCCCTGAGGCCACCCCATTTGATGTCCTAGCAGCACTCTTCTGGCTGCGAATCATGCGCTTCACATCACCTACTCCCCTCTCTGTTTGCTTAGACTTGAGGAATCACAAAACCAAAGCAATCCCTTTTCACTACTTTGGCAATGCTCTCCATTTCTCATCACTCTCACTTCATACCGAGGCACTCGAGGGTTGTGATGAGCTAGGCCATGTTGCAGGGCTCGTGCACAAACATGTGACAGGGATTAAAGAAGAAGGAGAGTTCTGGACAGCATTAGATTGGTTCGAGTCTCGGAAGGGGGAGACGGGGAAATATGCGCCGCCATTTAGAATGTATGGACCTGAACTGACTTGTATTAGCATGGAACATTTGTTCAGTGGAGATTGTGATGATGAATCTTTAACGTATGGAGCGATGTTTAGGGAGGAGGAGAAGCCGGTGCATGTGAGTTATAATGTGGGAAATGTGGGTGCTGGGAAGGGATTGATTATGGTGATGCCTTCACCTGGGGATAGGTTGGGAAGAACAGTGATGGTCAGCCTTCCAGAAAAGCAGCAGATTTCTATCCTTTCTCAAGATCAAGCTATTATGGAACTGGATCCACAAATGCTCCTTAGTGGGAGGAGATAATAAGCTTGAGACTTGCGCCAATATTATTCCTCAAATCATACTGCGCTTCTGATTAATTTCATGTTCATTGACAGATTTGGTTCTTGCTTTTGATACTTATATTGTCTATTATTTGTATATTTTATTCCTTATGAAATAACATTTATATTATCTTAAAATTTATTTTGCGAACCAAACATGTTGTTATTGAATGAGAAGAGTTCTCAAATTACAAGAGTTGTTTGACTGAAGAATTGACGACCAAACAAAAGATATGTTGAAATAGAATGTGTAACTCATACAGTGAAACAAAAGACTTGCTAAAGGAGGAAATTAAATTAAATAAGAAGAGTACAAATATTGAGAAGGGAGTTAAGCTTCCAGAATAGTCAAATCTGTACGTAATGCAATGTGGCACATCATATAGTATACGTGCATTATTTGACTTTAGCGTGTCTAGGGAGTCTATTATAACATTTTAAAATTCTATAACCCAATCGCATTCTTATGCGTAATGCAATGGTCTTGAATTTTATTTTTTTTTAAAAACAAAGTTACAATTGGTTGCCATTTATTATAAACCCAACAAACGCCCACCAAACTAAGACTCTCACGACTTAGTGTAATAGTTCATTATCTGACTTGATGTCACGATTAAAGATATCAATGTAAGAGTTTAACTTGGCTGAGAGACTGGTATGAGCGATGTAGACGTAGAAACAACTCTCAATTATGCTATTATGCTTTGTGTTCTGATTCTTTCTTTTCTGCATTTGATTTTTTTGTTGATGATGTAAAACAAGTTACCTCTATGATTAATGGGGTTAACTTTGGATGTGTAAGGCGATCTGCGAATCGTGCAGCCCACGCTATTACACGAGAAGCCGTTTCTGTGTCAGGTCCCGGGGAGTGGTTAGACTCACCACCCTATTATCTTGTTGTTATTCTTGGTGATTGATTTAATGAATTAAGTTCCTTTTCTCAAACAAATAAATATTTTTTATTTCTATTTCTTAAATCAACAAAATACTAGAATAACATTATTAAAGTCTATTTCTCCGACGAACTAATTAATAGAATACAATTCATATTCTATTATTTGCATATTTTATTCCTTATGAAATAACATTTATATTATCTTAAAATTCATTGCGCGAACCAAACATGTTGTTATTGAATAAGAAGGGTTCCCAAAATACAAGAGTTGTTTGACTGAAGAATTGACCAAACAAAAGATATGTTACGTTGGGAGAAGAATATGTAACTCATACAGTGAAACAAAAGACTTGCTAAAGGTGGAAATAATAAGAGTAGTTAAGCTTCCAGAATAGTCAATTCTGTACGTAATGCAATGTGGCACATCATATAGTATACGTGCATTATTTGACTTTAGCGTGTCTATGGAGTCTATTATAACATTTTAAAATTCTATAACCCAATCCCATTATTATGCGTAATGCAATGATATTGACTTTTTTTTTCTTTTATTTTTTAAACAAAGTTACAATTGGTTGCCATTTATTATGAACCCAACAAACGCCCACCAAACTATGACTCACAACTTAGTGTAATAGTTCATTATCAGACTTGATGTCACGATTAAAGATAACAATGTAATAATTTAACCCATAGATCGACTGATTGTGCAGGATTTATAATTAGTCCTACAAAGTTGGAATCATTTAAAAAAAAAAAACAAAAAAAAAAACCAAACCTTTTATTGGGGCCGAATAGCCCGACGCGAGGCAAAGCCCTCCAAGATTATACAAAACATCCAGTTTAACCTTTACCGGTAGGGAATCAAAGCTACAGAAAAATCTGTGAAGAGTTATGATCTAGACCTATCGTTGCAAGAGCATCGGCTACTCAATTAGTTTCTCGATACACATGTCCGATCTACGAACCCCAAGCATTAGGGAGTATTAAAAAAATCAAAACAAACTCCCACCAATAGATCACGATTCATGCTTTTAATGTAACTATCACCTTCCCCATCTGCCCACCTCTGATCTTTAATAATCTTATTTACGTGGCATATACGTTCTTCATATTGCAGAGACTGGCAAAGCTATGATTGCAGTATATATATATATATATATACATGCCAATATAATCAAAGTTGTGTGGTGTGAAAGTGTTTGATATTATTGAGAATGGAAGAAGGGAAGGGTAGCCGAGTGAGAGTTGAGTCCATGTTAACGGTGGTGTCAAGCACACCCATTGAACCCAATAAGGTTCATAAGCTCAGCGCTATGGACCACGCCATGGGTCTCCACACGATCCACATCATCTTCTACTACCGAGTCAACCCGTTTCGTGAAGGTCCGATGGAGTTGTACTTGGATAATCTCCGGGTGACGCTGTCGGAGCACCTTTGCAAGTACCCGCCGGCGACCGGGCGGCTGGGCCCGGACGAGGAGGGTAACTGGGAAGTGAAGTGCAATGATGCGGGAATGAGGATGGTGAGGGCTAGGGTAGGGGTGACGCTTGATGAGTGGCTGAGATCGGCTGATGCGTCAGAGGAGCGGGATCTGACGGTCTGGGAAGACATGCCACAAGATCCTACCATTTGGTCTCCCTTTCGAATCCAGGTACTTTATGCTTCACGTTCGCATGTGTACACTGTTTAAGTGTTAATTTTGTAGGAAAATGGTTTAATTGACGAAATTTTAAATAATTTGAAGATCAAGTTGATTGAAATTGAAAACTGCAGACTACATTGACGGTTAGAAAACAATTGAGGGACCAAAATGATAATTTTCCCTATTTTTACAGTGTTATTGTATTGGATACATACTTAAAACTTTCCTCGTTCACTTTAAGGTTATACTTAGTACAAGTAACACGGGTGTCGACATGTAACTTAACATTTTCAATATATATGTGCAGATTAATCTCATTTATCTATCTAGGTTAATCAAGGGCGTCCTAAAAATTAAGGAGAAAACAAAAAAGATAAAAAAACGCAGTGACTTTTTATTTTTAATAATTAGGATTGCACATTTGAAAATATTTAGGCCAAAACTTTGGTTAACTTACGTTTTAAAACCAAATTAATTATAAGGAATAAGGTTCAAATTGGCCACTGAACGTAACCTGAAAATGCAATTAGGCCACTGAACACTCCAAAAATGTGCAATTTCACTTGATAGCAGGTTACCCTCAATTTTAGCAGGTTATCTGCTTACGTGGCAGCTGAGTTGGCATTTTTAATAAATTTTAATAATAACTTTTTATTAAAAATTTTTTTTAAAAAATAAAAACGACTTTATTTTATTTTTTATTTAATTTTTTCCAATTTTTTATAAAATTTATTATTAAAATTTAATTATTAACAATTATTTAAAAATTATTAAAAATGCCAACTAAGCTGCCACGTAAGCAAGTAACCTGCTAAAATTGATGGTAACCTGCTATCCGGTAAAATTGCATCCGTTTGGAGAGTTCAGTGGCCTAATTGCACATTTTTTGAGTGTTCAATGGCCTAATTGTACTTTTTTTTTCGTTCAGTGGCCTAATTGCATTTTTAGGTTATGTTCAGTGGCCAATTTGAACCTTATTCCTAATTATATAAATAAAACAAAATTCTTAAAAAATGTAAACAGTTAATCAAATTAGAAAGAAAAAGTTTGGCCACCAACCAATTAACTAAACTTTTTAATTCAATTGGTTAATTAGGTTTCTGTATATAGAACTATAGAAGTTTGAATTGCACACTTGCATTTCATGTATTCCATGTACAAATACATATGGTGTGAAATAAATACTGTTTCCCCATATATGAAGAAAGACCTAACTTTATTATAACTCTGTTTAAAGTAGTGAAAATTTTTACTATATATGGGAATATAAAGTACTCTATTTGGATATTTCTTTTTTGTGAAAATTAAACAAAAATTGCTTCATTCAATAAATTTAATATTTATTTCTTAAAATATTCTTTAAATAATAAGAATTTGTAAGCATTGAATATGCATTTTGTATGTAGCTAAATGAATTTGAAGGCGGTGGACTAGCTATTGGACTGAGCTTTACACACATGCACGCAGATCCAACAAGTGCAACCTTATTTTTCAAGTGTTGGGCAGATTATCACAGAGGCTTGCCAATTGTTAATCCTCCCATTTTCAATCTTCCTGCATTCACCAACCATCCCACCCCCAATCCAACTTCAAAAACATCACAATATTATAGCAAGAAATGCAAAGAAACAGAAACTGTGTCAACCAAAATGCCCACACTCACCTTCAGATTCTCAGGCTCAAAAGTCATGAAATGCCTGTCCCAAGTCCATCCCATTTGCCCTGAGGCCACCCCATTTGACGTCCTAGCAGCACTCTTCTGGATGCGAATCATGCGCTTCACATCACCTACGCCCCTCTCTATTTGCTTAGACTTCAGGAGTCACAAAAGCGAAGTAATCCCTTTTCACTACTTTGGCAATGCTCTCCATTTCTCGTCACTCTCACTTCATGCCGAGGCACTGGAGGAGGATTGTGATGAGCTAGGCCATGTCGCAGGGCTCGTGCACAAACATGTGACAGGGATTGAAGAAGGAGAGTTCTGGTCTGCAGTGGATTGGTTTGAGTCTCGGAAGGGGGAGACGGGGAAATATGCGCCACCGTTTAGAATGTATGGACCTGAATTGACCTGCATTAGCATGGAACATATGTCCTGTGCAGATGGCACCACAGATGAGTCTTTAATGTACTCTGCCATGTTTAGGGAGGACGAGAGGCCGGTCCATGTGAGTTATCATGTGGGAAATGCGGCCGGCAAGGGATTGATTATGGTGATGCCTTCACCTGGGGATAGGTTGGGAAGAACAGTGATGGTCAGCCTTCCAGAACAGCAGATTGCTATCCTTTCTCAAGATCAAGCTATTGTTGAACTGGATCCAATAATGCTCATCAGTGGGAAAAGATAAGCTACCATACAAGTTCATTTGTTTTGGAATTTGTTATTTGCTTACGATACTTGTATGTTTTACAGGTTTGATTGTATTTTCATAAGAATACAGACTTCAGACTTCCAAGACTTTTTCTTTTTGTGGTATATCGTCTGAAAATCACTACAAAAATATTACAGACAAAATTACTAACACAGAGAACTAAAACTTGTGTTAGTAATAGAGAAGCTTCATACTTCACACGACCTGAATAGTCAATACCCTGTGGCACTATAACTAGTAAATGCTCTTAATTTATTTCATGAAATAAAACTCCAATCTTCTCATTGTAGGGTGCATTTCGGGTAGATGAGGAAAAGAGCATTAAATAGAGAGTACATATCCAGTATGTGATACAGTGATATTACAAGCAGCAGCTTCAATTGCTAAGATCAGTGAAAACTGGATTAGCTTCAAGGTGCTCTGCGAATTTCTCAAGGATCTCCTTAAAAAAAGCCATAAATTCATCTTTGCTGCATTCTTTGGTGATCTTTTCATTTTCTGTATCAGCTAAAACAGCATCATATAGAAGATGTATTTCATCATTTTGTAAAGAGGGCAATCCTAACTCCTCTCCGTTTTTCTCAAGGAAACTTCGTATTGTATCTTTGCTTGTTTGCTCATCTTTCCTGCCTTGGTTTTCCTGCATTATCTTCTCCACGGCATCATTTAGTTGTTTTCCATCTGCCAAAACCTGCATTGGTGGTCCAACAGTCAATATTTAGCTACAATAATTTAGTCATTGAATGCCCAAACATATGAAGAGCATACCAGTGAGTGTCATCCAGCAGGACCAATAAAATTCAATAGAAAGGAAATTTCAACTCAAGCTAAGGTTGTTATCAGTTAAGTTAAAAGCTCATGATATACACCTTAGTTTTACCCAGCGGACTTATATTGGTTCCTAATTTGACAAATGCTAAACTAAGATATTAATATTCATGAAATGTTGTGGCAACATGACCATTGATAATGAAAGAAAACCAAGGGGAAATAACTTACCTTTCTTAGTTTGGTGCCATTGTTGGCTTTGATGTTTTGAACAACTATAATGGGATTCGCTGCAAGGGCATCTGCCACCTCTTGGAGAACAGGCTGAAGTAGATATGCAAACTGTGCTTGTCCCAGTCCTTCCTCTCCCTCAGCCCCATTCTTCTTCAAAATTTCAGTAAGTTGAGGGAACTCTGCTCAACAACAAATCATAACTTAGTTTAGTTTATAAAGGAAAAATGAAAATGTAATTTCTAGTATAGTAACATGCTTAAACAGTAAGTGATAAATTGAGACAATGTGGATATATTAAATAATGAGTCGGGAAAAGAATCATTAGTTCACTCATAGACTTTGTGCCAGCAATTTCACTGACAAGCTAAACAACACCCAAATCCCCAATAGGTCCCTAAGACAGGTGGGATTATCCTTGTTCAGATGCTCACATTCTATCTTAAGTGGTTTAGAATAGCTTTTTCACCCTATACCTTGCTGTCAAAATGTTGTACTAACTGAAAAATTAAACCTAGAAGAAATAACACTAGGAACTACGATGGCACGCAAATATCTTAACAAGTCATATACAGCAAAACTACTACCAGATAAACAGTTTCAGATGGAAGGCCAGCACTTAAATGTTAGTTGGCTATGAATCATAGTTAAGTGACAAATGAAATATTTCATCTATTTCTTTATTTGTAATTCTTTTCATAAGAGTGGCAAACCTGATAAAGGAGGGATTCCCATCGCAACACCCATTTGAGAGAGAGCATTTTTTATCTCATTTCTATTGATTTTTCCTCTATCTTCAGTGTCTAACTCAGTAAATACATTCTCAGCCAGCATGGCAAAATCATCTTCATCTTCCAAGAAGATTCGAATAGCTTTTCCATTGAATATTGCCACAACTACTGGATCATCTGAATGTAAAAATAATAAAACAGTATTTTGTTAGCTAAACATTCCAACTAATCATCAGTCCAATATCAGAAACAACCTAACATAAATTAAGTGTATTACAATACAAAAATCAAGTACAGAATTGCCACAATTATGAATGGGTATTCACAAGTGAGTTACTCCCAGCATCCCGTTGAAATGTGTACATATCACAACAAGGCATCCCTACCAGATATCATTATGCATATGCGATCATCATAACTAGTCAATTGTATTGACTAGTGATCCTTTTGAAATCACACATGTATATCAAATAGATTTTTCTTTAATATACATATTAGTACAATTTAACAACACACCTCAATCATCAAAATGAAAGCTAATTACACAAATAGGAAGGAAGAAATTGATCCGGAAATAAACCAAATTAAGATGAGATATTTTCAATACTAACATAAACTAGACGAATACTAGCTATGAGTCAACGGGCGCACACCTTTGAGCACGTCCACGACGGCAGCAACGAAATTCCGAAGCGTAGAAGCTGCCTTTTCGCGATCCAGCTCCGCACCCAGAAAGCTAGCCTCATCGGCGATTCCGAGGCGCTTCAAGGCGGAGGACTTGACAGTTTCCGGCAATGCAAGGCCGAAGAAAGAGGATGAGATCTTTGATTCTGCCAGCTCCAGGACCCGGGCTCCGGTGAGTGTACTGCCATTACCGTCGCATAAGGGCGGCGACAGGTCTACGGCACTCAGCTGTGTCCCGTCCAAAACCGTTAACACCTCGTCCATCATTCCTTTCTCTCGCTGTATAAATCTATATGTATATGTTAGTTTTGATCGTGCAACAGTTCCTGGGAAGAAAATGGATACGGAGAGTTAGAAAAGTTTGAGACGAATACTGTGATGAATTTCAAGGAGGACAGGGCGCAAGAGGGAAGGAAGCGCGTTGAAATGAAAAAGGCTTTTTGAACATTGAAGTTTACCAATTTGGGGTTTACGTACGCGGACTCTATTTTCATTGGTTTATTTATTCCATTAATTTATATTATTGTAAATGTTCAATTTAGTTAATGTATCCTCCCAACAAAAAAATAATTAGTTAATATCCAAAATCATCTTGCACGTGATTTTTTTTTTTAATTTCGTCTTAAACGATTTTGATAACATAATGTAATTTTAAATTTTTGTATTTTTGTTCAATTTAATCTTTCGTTTGTTATTTTGTCAAATTGATATTAAATAAATGGAAAATTTTGTAATAACAATATTGAACGGTCTCTCTTTACTCTCAGCCCTATGAAGTGCGAAATCCTTCTTTCTTTTACAAATTACTTCCAGACCTGCAAATCAAATTTTATATTCATAGGTTTGGGAGTAATTAGTAAAAGAATCAGGAATTCCGCACTTCGCAGGTCTAGGAGTAAAGAGATGTCAATAATGAAATTACTGCATTGCTCCTCTGTTTAACACTAAATGGGCGGAATAACAAATAGATGACTAAATGGAACAAAAATACAAAAGTCTGGGACTACATTAAGTCACCAAAGTAGTTTAAAACGAAATTGAGAAAAACCATTATAGTCAATTACCATTTTAAGTATTAACTCAAAAAATAATGTAATGAGATTAATTAGATTACTCCGATCGTTTGCGCAGAAAAAGTGAAATTAATTATTTTTTTTAAAAGAAATTTATCTTCCACATTTTTTTATTTCATTGTTCAAAATTAGGGTAATGTATTTTATAATTATTTAAGGATTTGAATGCAATAGTAAGATAACAAAAGTATGCAAATGAAGTTTATGAACATGGTAATGAGTATAAATATTATAGTATCAAGTATCAAATATTTTGTTGATTTGATTAATGATTGATAAAAAGAATTTAGGAAATGATCCTAAGTTTTATGATTAAAAATGTTATTTGATTTTTATCCTTTTAATCCGTGTTACTATATATCTTACCCAATTTTCTTACAAAGGATACTCGTCATCAGCATCATACATAGAATTCAGCTTGGACTTCTCAAGCAACTCCTCCTCCAATATAATCTAAGTGGGACAACTAACCTTATGACCAAACAGACTAAGCTTAGGTTGTAGTGACAATGTTGAGACATATGATGAATGCGGCTCCGGCCAGCTGAGCCCCCATTTGCCGGAATCCGGCGGACGTCCTGCCTGTTTGGAGTTCAGTGGGGAGATAAAATTAATGAACAAAAGAAAAAAAAAAAACTGATTTAGGCCAGATAGTAACATAGTTAGCTCATCAGCCAATTTTTACTTATTTGACCACTATTAACTGTTTGACTTGATTAAACAATCAACATGAGTGTTTGATTAATTTGCTTGTTTGTAACAACTCATTGCTTCATAACGTTAAAATTTAGAAAACTGCTCAAAACAGTTTTTTTATCAACTTTTTGAGAAAATCATTTTGCATGTAATCAGCTAACAGTTAATTTACCAAATATTATTCTATAATCAGTTAATGTTATCAATTAGTCAAACTCATTAACCAAATCAGCTAACAACTATTTACTAAACGCATCCTTAATACTTTCCACAAAAAGCGAAATTTCCCCATTCCTTGCCCCACAATTGGACTTGACATATGTAAATTAATTTTCTTTTGACAATATATATATATATATATATATATATATATATATATATATATATATATATATATATATATATATATATATATATATAGGGTTGCATTCAAATACAAACCCCCCTTAAAATACAAACTTGAGCTCGTGTACACATTAACATACTTACATGCACACAGGGCGCACTACCAACAATTTATGGGATTAGCTCATGCACACATTAACATACTTACATGCACACAGAGCGTAGGAGGAAAAATACAACCATCCATCAAAGCTCGTGCACACATTAACATACTTACATGCACACAGCGCGTAGAAAGATAAAAATCACAACCATCCTTCAAAGCTAGTGCACCATTAACATACTTACATCAGTTACATGCACAATGGGCACACTGCCAACAATATCTAGGATTAGCTCGTGCACACATTAACATGCTTACATGCACACAGTTTATATTTTAAGGGAGGTTTGTATTTTAAGGGAGTTTGTATTTGAAAATAATCCTCTATATATATATATATATATATATATATATATATATATATATATATATATATATATATATATAAAAGTATATTCTAGTGTTCATGACAGATTGACAGGGTTTTCATGACCATATTAATTTAGTTTTTTTTTCACGATTTTTTTAAAGAGCCACTTAGGAGAGAGAGGAGGTAAAGAGAAATAGAAAAAAAAAAGGAAAAAAAAAAATAGAAATCTGACACCAAAGAAAAAAAAAGCCCAGCATTTTAAGTGCCCGCTGGGACAGCCGGCGCGTGGCTGGCCACGATCAGTGCGTGAAACGTGCTCTTCTGCATGTTTCTTGAGATTTTTCTCTCTTAGGGGTTTACAAAAAATCCTTCACTTGCAGAAAGATAAAATACATTCTCTCTACTTCTTCTCTTTCATCCACATTATGTTGCAGTGTTCTAAAACCACAAAAAAAGCATTGATGTGGTTGCTCTATCCAAAAGAGTAATAGTTATTAGTGCCCCAATTTTTTCTTTCATTTTTACTTACTTGACATGTCTTGATTAATCTAAAAAGATGATTTGTGTGGACCATCTTACGGATCCTAATCATGAGATGGATCGAATTAGTTGGGTCAATATAAAAATGTAATACTTATACTAAACAAAAAAAAAAAAAGTAATACCTTTGAGGAAAAATGTAATATTTTTACATTTTGGTGTAAAAGTAATACATTTTTCATCAAAAGTATGCTTCTCCTTATGAGTAATGTTGACAAGTATTTGTTATTTATAAGAGAAAATGTAATATTTATGAGAAAAAATGTAATACTTTTAAGTTTTAAATAAAAAAAGTATTACATTTTTCTTCAAAAGTATTACACTTTTCTATATAAATAATAAATATTTTATTCATAATTAACATTACAGTTTCCAATATAAGTATTACATTTTTATCTTAATTCAATCCGTCTCACAAACAAGAATTCGTGATTAACATCACACTTTTCAGTATAAATATCACATGCATGGGCATGGTCACGGCCAAGCCCGTGGCCAAGAAAACATGGACAAAGAATGTATTGTGTTGTAGGCACGGGCATAGGCATAGCCACGCCTGTGCTGCCCTTGGCTACCAAGCATAATTCATGTGTATCTTATTTGTCTTCTAAGCTATTTTTACCCCTGAAACCTTTGAATTAGTCTTTATGATCTTCATATTAGAAGTAGTAGATCTTTAAGTTAGCTTTCCAATGACACTTTAATCTCTTAAATTGGATCTTCTTACATCGAGTTATGATTGAAATATCGAGAAGACGCAAATTTGGGCAAGAAATGTCGCCTTGCTTTCTTTTGCTTTGACTTTGCATTGAATTGCTTATATCATCAAGATCATTAAGGCACAAATATTTGGCACATGATAGTGTTTGTTCAATCTCCTTTGTTTCATTTTGCTTCACAATAATATCTTGATGTTATGATGACTTGAAAACTTGATCAAATAGCTTAATGTTTGACTCTTCAAAACATTATTTTCTTGTCAAGTCATCTAAGCACAAACAATAATTTAATAAGTGATAAAATTGGCACAATAGAATAACTAGTAATTAACAAGCAAAAATAGTAAAAAGTGTAAGGAACAATTAAGAGTTTAAGACACATATATGGGCTCTGTTTGGCAGAGCTTATTTAGGAGTTTATAAAATAAGCTATAAGCTCTATTTGGTAATGTTCTCAAAATAAGCTAGTAACTTTTTAACTTTTTCCATCTTTTATCCTTATTATTTTAAATAAAAGACATCTTTTACCATCCCCAATAAAAACTTTTTTGCATTTTTTCTTTTTCTATATTTTTATTCATTATCTTCCGCAACTCTTCACCGCAGGAACTCCTTAAAGTTCTAATTCCTATCGTCCGTTCATAAATAAATGACATCATTTACCCTTACCAATTAAAAACTTTTACCCATGAAAATGGGGGAATTGCAATTCCATGGAATTGGAATTCCTTCCAACCAAACTAAGGAATTTTATGGCCTTTGGAATTAAGTGGGAAGGGAATTTAAACCCCCTCCAACCAAACGCCCCGTAAGAGATAATTCTATTTTTGGTCATAAATTTATAGGTGATAGTCTACTTTTAGTCATTTTTTTTTTATCAAAACGTCCACTTTTGGTCTAGTATTATTGTGACATGATCAATCTTGGTCATCTATCAACAAAATCGTTGAAATTTTGTTAAGTATGACATTTTGATCTTTTTAATACAAAGTGTGTTAATCTGTTAAATATTTTATGTTTATTTTTTGAAAAAAAAAATCATAATTGAAGAGTGAAATGCTCTTGTATTTAACGCAATTTCAATGATTTTTTTGATAGAAGACCAAAATTGGTCATGTCATAGTAATACTAAGACCAAAAAGGAATGTTCGGATAAAAAAAGGACGAAAAGTGGACTGCCACCTATAAATTTAGGACCAAAAATGGAATTAACTCTAATAATTAATGACTAACGAAATACTAACGGTGTAAAGACAATTTAGTCTGAAAAGATTACGGTACAACATTTTTAACCTAACATACAACTTGACAAATATAAAAAAATACTAACATAATTTAAAGATATAACATGCATTCGTTCTTAGAAGTTAGGTAGGTAGAAGGTTGCATCAATATAATTGTGTTTTTCCCCCCTCATTAAAGGAAATTTGCTCATAGGTACTAATTCATAACAGTAGAATACCAAATTTGATACCTAAAGTCAAATGAAAATGATTGAATTAGACAAGTTTGACAAAATGACAATGACTAATTTGAAAGTGCCAAATTAACTCTTTCTCTATACAAATAATAGATATTTGGTATGTGTATGCAGTGAGATATACATACTAAAGACATGGCAATGGGAAGGGAGATTTTGAGAAAGGAAGTACTTCCCTTTGTAGCAATGATAGTAGTGGTGTGTATGCAGATGGCAACAACCACAATAGCCAAAGCAGTCCTCAACTCCGGGTTGAGCTCTCTTATATACGTCGTCTACTACAATTCCCTTGGCGTCCTCCTCCTTCTTCCCGGATTTATCATCCAAAGGCACAGGTCGGTTTAACAAATCGATCACAAATGTACTCATTATTGATGATGAGTTTACTTTAATTTCCTGTATGTTTCAGAAGACATGCACGAGCTCTGACCTTGTCTGTGCTGAGAAGATGTTTCGTCGTTGGCCTGCTCGGGTATTGGACGATATGATGCATGCATGATTGTACATTGATAAACTTTGTGGAAGAGATCGATACGATGAACATCTAAGAGTAGCAGTTTATTTATATGTTTATGATATTGCAGGACATGTGCGTTGGTTTTGGGTAACCAAGGGCTCAACTATAGCTCTCCTACTCTCTCTGCAGGCATAAGTAACTTGATGCCTGGTTTTACATTTGTGCTTGCAATGATTTTCAGGTAATGAAGACAAGCTAAATTTGTGTGCATGGCAACTAACTTCAATTCCATATATGAATTGAATATATATATTGTTGCAAAATTTAGGATGGAGAAGTTTGAGGTGAAGAGAAGAACATGGCAAGCAAAATCAGTGGGCACACTTGTGTCAATTATAGGGGCATCTATCATGACTCTATATCAAGGACCAACAATCTTGGGATCATCTTCAACTTCTGATTTGCCTCATCAGCACTCTCTTCTGTCACATGAATATTTCTCAAGGTGGGTGGTGGGAGGTGTTATGCTTGTAGCCACATACCTTTTTGCATCTGGTTGGAGCATTCTTCAGGTACAATATAATTGATGATGATGAGTATGAAGAATATATATATTGTTGCAAAATATAGAATAAGGATCAAATAAAAAAGCTTCATTAGGTAAAAAATGCGGACAAGTTATGGTCATAGATGCAATCCAAATCAACAGTTCAAATTGAATTTTAATTAAGAACATGCAGTGGCATATTTGTAATTTTGAGTAAAATAAGTTAGCTTGTGTTTTGTTTCCGAATGTACATTTGTCCTTCTTCGAGTACATCACTTTTATTTCAGTACTTAGTTTCTATTTTGAGTGCACATCTTTGTGCAGTTGAGTGCAAATGTTTCTATTTTGAGTGCACATCTTTGTGCAGTTGAGTGCAAATGTTTGGCCTTCAATTGCACGTTTGTAGCCTTCAAGTGCATGGTTTCCTTTCTAAGAGTGCATAATTAATTTCCCATTTTCCTTCAAGTGCATGTTTCTTTGCCTTCAAGTGCACAACTTCTGGGCAGTATTTGTTATATCTTGTGCATTCTTTTCAACATATAACTAAATTTTTAATGAAATTTGTGAGAATTACAAACGATTTGTATATGGGTAATTGATTTTTTTTTTTGAATGCTACTGACTCTATTATACTGTAGGCTCGATCTCATGACCTCCCACATGGGAGAGGTCACTACATGTCATCTGAGAACAAGGTGTTTGACGGGTATTGGTTTAATAACACTTAAGTTGAATAATCTCCCTTTTTGGTACCATAAATTGCATCAATTGCACATATATTTGACTTTGAATGCAATTTTTTTTACCTTCAAGTGCACATTTTTTACTTTCAAGTGCATGGCTTTGAGCCTCCAAGTGCACCAACCACATTTCCCACGGGAAATCTTGTGCTCACCTGATCCTAAACCTATATATATATATATATATATATATATATATATATATGTGTGTGTGTGTGTGTGTGTGTGTGTGGGGGGGGGGGGGGGGGGATTAATTACTACAAAATTAAACTAATAATTAATTTCGAGTTTGAATTTCAATATAATATAATCTGCATGCAGACAGCTACACTAAAGGATTACCAAGAACAGATCACAATAGTGTTCTTCTCTACTTGCTTTGGTAGCATCCAATCTGCAATTGTGTCACTACTCCTAGAAAGGAAGCTAGATGCTTGGAAGTTGCAGCCTGGCATTGGAATGACTGCCATTGTTGCTTCTGTAAGTAAGAATTTAAATTCATATATAGTATATACATACATTTTTGTTATACCAATCAAAAATTTCCTTCCATTGTAGGCGGTTTTAGGGCCTCTTTGTATCAACAATATTATTGCCTTCTGCTTGGTGATGAAGGGTCCTCTGTACGTTGCCATGTTCAACCCCCTGGGAGTTGTCATTGCAGCAACTCTCAACCTCCTTTTTCTTTCAGGCGCCCTTCATTTAGGCAGGTATATATATATATATGTAATTAAACACCATGCATATAAATTTCCATTTCCCACTCAGAATTATATTATTTTATTTGCAACTTAATTATTTAAATTGTAATTAATCAATTAAAATCTACTGATCGATAACGTTTTAATTTGGCAGTATAGTTGGATCAATAATCATTACTGTTGGATTCTACGTGGTGATGTGGGGCATGTTGAGAGAGGCAACGGATATTTTATGCCAAACTGGAGCTGCCAATGAAACATCCCCTCTGCTACAAAACTAAACCTACTGATAATACCAATTCAAAACTTTGCTTTGTTTATCTTTCCTTAACATTATTATTTCTGGTGAAAAAAAAATGTGGTAGTTATTGCACGTGTTATATGTTGCATGGAAAGTTCCAAAATACATTTACAACCTGATTGTGATTGGTGCAGGCTAGGAGATATTTTCTACTAATACTGAAATACAATCTCAGTCTAGAATGTGATTAAAGTCGATGAGAACAAGAAATTTTAGAGAAAATTTTATTATTGATCAATCATATTTACAAAGTATATTAAGGGATGTATTTATACAGATATAAAAGATAATCCTAACTAGAGCACGATGGATAAAAGTAGAGTTATAATAATATGTATTCAAAGATGAAGTAGGAATCATAAAGTCAATAAAGTACAGAGTTCTAATACACCCCTCAAGTTTAAGGTTCTCTAAAGAGAACATTGAGCTTGTTCTATAGAAGATTGAATCTAGCAATGATGAGTGGTTTGGTGGAGATGTCTGCAAATCGGTATTTTGTAGATATGTAATTCACTTGTAACTCCTGATGCTACTTTATCATGAACAAATGATATTTGGTATGTGTATGCACCTAGCTAAAAGTGTCCAAAGTGCAGTGAGAGTGGTTGCGCTACATACCAAAGTACAGAAATGAAGTATTTCCATTTGCAGCAATGATAGTATAATGGTTTTTTTTTTTGAAAGCTACTGACTCTATTATATTGTAGTATCTGTTTATCTACACTTTCTCAATCCGTTGAAGCACAAATAGTCAACATCGTCTCCACTGAGACTTGATCTCATGACCTCCCATATATATGGGAGAGTCACTACATGCAATGATAGTATAATGTTTATGTTTATTAATTTTTGTTTTTATAAACATATAAAAGGATATTATTATTAATTTACTGCAGAGAGAGTGAAAGTATATATTGTAAATACTAAAGTCAAATGTGGAAATGGGCAGAACCTTTTTTCTGACGAGGTTAGGAGCAGGAGCAAACACTTGGTCTGAAGAGCAAGAACACTTGGTCTGAAGAGCAAGATGTTCATCTCTTAAGAGCACGGTGCTCATCTCTTAAGAGCACGATGCTCATCTCTGAAGAGCAAGATGCTCATTTCGGAAGAGCAAGAGAAAGAGCAAGATGCTCATTTCGGAAGAGCAGGAGAAAGAGCAAGATGAAGTTGCAGGAGATGGTTTGCTATAAATAGGCAACTCCTCTTCATCCAATCTCATCCCATTCCATCAGGAATCTTCCCATTAGCATAGCAAAATATAGAGAGTAGAATAGAGAGTTATATTGTAATTCCTATTTGTAATATCCTTTTGCCAATACAAAAAATCCTTCTTCAAATTGCCTTTATTTTGTGTATGATTTATTTTAAATCTTGCACTAGAAATATTCTCATTATTCCCGGTCCGAATTGCCGCTGGTATTTTGGTGTTGTGAACCGCATCGATCCTAACAAGTGGTATCAGAGCCCCAGGTTGGTTCATAGATATATCTGTACTGTACCGGTTATGTTAGAACTCATACTGGTAAAGTGATTGTACATGTCTAGGAAAAGATCTGGTTAAGACTTGGTATTTAAGCAGTCCATTTGTGACTCACCTCTCTTCTCCAGAAATATTTTCCTGGTGTACTGTTCACAGGACCGGTAGTTTTCTATTATACGATACTATTTAGATATATTGTTCAGGATCAAGAACACCACTTACAATGACGGCAAAGTACGAGATTGAAAATTTCAATGGGAACAGTTTCTCGTTGTGGAAAATGAGAATGAAAGCAGTTCTCAGGAAAGATAACTGTGTTGCAGCAATTGAAGAAAGGCCAGCCGATTTCACTGACGATGCCAAGTGGACAGAAATGGATAGCAACGCTATTGCCAATCTGCACTTAGCACTTGCTGATGAAGTTTTGTCAAGTGTGGCGGAAAAAGGTACGGCAAAAGAGATATGGGATACTCTCGTAAATTTGTATGAGGCCAAATCACTGCACAACAAAATCTTCTTGAAGAGGAAGCTATACACTCTCAGGATGATGGAGACATCCTCAGTAACTGAGCACATCAACACTCTCAACACTCTATTTTCACAACTCTCGGCGTTGAGTTATAAAATAGATGTGAATGAACGTGCTGAAATTTTACTCCAAAGTCTACCGGATTCATACGATCAACTCATTATCAATCTAGTCAACAACAAGGAGGTACTTGTCTTCGATGACATTGCAGCTGCGGTTCTTCAAGAAGAAAGTCGGCGCAAAAACAAAGAAGATAAAGTTGGAACCTCACAACAGTCTCAGGCGTTGACAGTGATAAGAGGAAGATCAACGGAGCCTGGCTCCAGTGGGAGTCACAACCGAGGTAGATCAAAGTCAAGGGGTAAGAAGAATGTCAAGTGTTTTCACTGTGGCAAAAAGGGGCACTTCAAGAGTGAGTGTTGGCAGCTCAAGAAGGATGGGGCCAGAGGCAAAAATCCCGAGACATCAAATGCTCAGGGATGTGTTGTGAGTACATCGGATGGAGGCAATGTTTTAATTGGTGAAGCAGCAACAATTGTTGAAGGCAAGAAAAGTCTAGTTGATGTTTGGCTCATGGACTCCGGAGCAACATGGCATATGACTTCACGAAGAGAATGGTTTCATGAATATGAACCTGTCTCTGGAGGATCAGTCTTCATGGGAGATAATCATGCCTTAGAGATTGCTGGCATTGGTACTATCAAACTAAAAATGTTTGATGGTACGGTTCGCACTATCCAAGAGGTACGACACGTGAAAGGCCTGAAGAAAAATCTATTGTCTCTAGGACAATTAGATAGCCGTGAATGTAAAATTCACATTCAGGATGGGATCATCAAAGTAATCAAGGGCGCGCTTGTTGTGATGAAAGCTGAGAAGATAGCAGCCAATCTATACATGCTTAAAGGAGAAACACAACTACAAGGAGAAGCAGCCGTTGCAGCAGACAATCTTATAGAGGAATCAACGATGATGTGGCATCAGAAACTTGGCCACATGTCGGAACGAGGTCTAAAGATTCTTGCTGATCAACATCTTCTTCCGGGGCTAACAAAGGTATCATTACCCTTTTGTGAGCATTGTGTTACAAGTAAGCAACATAGATTGAAGTTCGAGAGCTCTAAAGCAAGGAGCAAGGCTATCTTAGAGCTAATCCATTCCGATGTTTGGCAAGCACCAATTATATCCCTGGGAGGTGCAAAGTATTTTGTATCCTTCATAGACGATTATTCGATGAGATGTTGGGTGTATCCAATCAAGCGGAAGGCGGATGTATTTGAAGTTTTCAAATTCTTCAAAGCGCGTGTGGAACTTGAATCCGAGAAACGGATCAAGTGTTTGAGGTCGGATAATGGAGGAGAATATACTAGTGATGAGTTTGATAAATTCTGTCTACAAGAAGGTATCAAACGGCAGTTCACGGTGGCGTATACTCCATAACAAAATGGAGTGGCAGAGCGGATGAACAGAACCTTGTTAGAAAGAACAAGAGCAATGTTGAGGACTGCAAATTTGGCAAATCCATTTTGGGCTGAAGCAGTCAAGACCGCCTGTTATGTGATCAATCGGTCACCATCAACCGCAATTGATCTGAAAACGCCAATGGAGATGTGGACGGGTAAGCCAAGTAGTTATTCTCACTTACATACATTTGGGAGTCCGGCATATGTGGTATACAACGCTCAAGAAACATCAAAACTTGATCCAAAGTCAAGAAGATGCGTTTTCTTGGGGTATGCTGATGGAGTGAAGGGGTATCGCCTGTGGGATCCCACTGCCCACAAGGTTATCATCAGCAGGGATGTTCTATTTGTAGAAGGGAAGGTACAAGAAGGTGAAAGCACTGGGAAGGAGAAACCAGTGACAACTACAGTACAAGTTGAGGGAAGGAAGGAAGAAGAAATTCCAGTTTCCCCTGAAGCAACAATAGAGCATGATGATCAAGATCAAGCTGAGTCTTCAACTTCAGAAGTTCGACGATCAACTCGAGAGAGGAGAGAACCAGCTTGGCACTCAGATTATTCAATGGAGGGAAATGTTGCATACTGTCTATTGACAGAAGATGGTGAGCCATTAACTTACCATGAGGCTATAAAAGGCCCAGATGCATCTCTGTGGATGACAGCAATGCAAGAAGAAATCGAAGCTCTCCATAAGAATAAAACATGGGAACTTGTCCCATTACCACGAGGAAGGAAGGCTATTGGAAACAAATGGGTCTATAAGATCAAACGAGATAGCAACAACCAAGTGGAACGGTATCGTGCTCGATTAGTTGTGAAAGGATTTGCTCAGAAGGAAGGAGTTGATTTCAACGAGATATTTTCTCCTGTTGTACGACTTACAACGATTCGAGCAGTCCTAGCGATGTGTGCTGTGTTTGACTTGTATCTTGAGCAGTTGGATGTGAAAACTGCGTTTCTACATGGAGAACTTGAAGAACAGATTTATATGCTCCAACCAGAAGGTTTTGAAGAAGAAGGGAACTTGGTTTGCAGGTTGACCAAATCTCTATACGGTCTCAAACAGGCGCCGAGATGTTGGTATAAGAGATTTGATTCATTCATTCTGAGCTTTGGATACAACAGGTTTAATTCCGATCCTTGCGCATATTGCAAGAGATTTGATGATAATCAGTTTATCATCTTGTTGTTGTATGTTGACGACATGTTGGTAGTAGGCCCCAACAATGATCGTATCACGGAGATGAAGGCTTAACTGGCTAGGGAATTTGAAATGAAGGACTTGGGACCAGCAAACAAGATTCTAGGGATGCAAATTCACCGAGACAGAAATAATAGGAAGATTTGGCTTTCTCAGCAGAATTATCTGCAGAAAATCTTGCGGCGCTTCAACATGCAAGATTGTAAGCCAATTTCTACCCCTCTTTCTATTAATTTCAAGTTATCCTCAAGTATGAGTCCTAGCAACGAAGCAGAGAGGATGGAGATGTCTCGAGTACCGTATGCATCAGCAGTGGGCAGTTTAATGTTTGCTATGATCTGCACTAGACCAGACATTGCACAAGCAGTGGGAGCGGTCAGTCGATACATGGCAAATCCTGGTAGAGAGCATTGGAGTGCTGTGAAGAGGATCCTTAGATATATCAAGGGTACCTCAGATATTGCATTGTGTTATGGAGGATCAGACTTCATTATTAGAGGCTATGTTGATTCAGATTATGCAGGTAATCTTGATTGTAGCAAATCCACCACGGGTTATGTGTTTACTCTTGCTGGCGGAGCAGTAAGCTGGGTCTCGAAGTTGCAGTCTGTTGTGGCAACATCGACGACGGAAGCAGAATATATAGCTGCTACTCAAGCTAGTAAAGAGGCTATATGGTTGCAAATGCTATTGGAGGAGCTCGGGCACAAATTAGAGAAAATGACTCTATTTTGTGACAGTCAGAGCGCTTTGTACTTGACAAAGAATCCAGCATTTCATTCCAAGATGAAACACATACGGGTCCAATTTCACTTTGTTCGTGAAAAGGTGGAAGAAGGGAGTGTGGATATACAGAAAATCCATACTAAAGATAACCTGGCAGATATGTTAACAAAGCCGGTTACCAACGATAAATTCGTATGGTGTAGATCCTCAATTGGCCTAAAAAGTATGCAAGCAGCACGAAATTGGCAGAAAGGATGAAGGTCCACATTGTGACTTTAAGTGGGAGATTTGTAAATACTAAAGTCAAATGTGGAAATGGGCAGAACCTTTTTTCTGACGAGGTTAGGAGCAGGAGCAAACACTTGGTCTGAAGAGCAAGAACACTTGGTCTGAAGAGCAAGATGTTCATCTCTTAAGAGCACGGTGCTCATCTTTTAAGAGCACGATGCTCATCTCTGAAGAGCAAGATGCTCATTTCGGAAGAGCAGGAGAAAGAACAAGATGAAGTTGCAGGAGATGGTTTGCTATAAATAGGCAACTCCTCTTCATCCAATCTCATCCCATTCCATCAGGAATCTTCCCATTAGCATAGCAAAATATAGAGAGTAGAATAGAGAGTTATATTGTAATTCCTATTTGTAATATCCTTTTGCCAATACAAAAAATCCTTCTTCAAATTGCCTTTATTTTGTGTATGATTTATTTTAAATCTTGCACTAGAAATATTCTCATTATTCCCGGTCCGAATTTCCGCTGGTATTTTGGTGTTGTGAACCGCATCGATCCTAACATATATAATGTAAATGCAATTTAGTACGTGTTTATGTATATTAATTATTAAGATTTAATTTATGAACATATAAAACAAATATATATGATAATGAACTAGTACATGATAAATGGGACACATTGAGGAGGGGGTTTTTGAATTTTCTAAGTAATAATATTATCAATTTATCTCACTTCCCTTCAATTGTTTTATGGTTGTGTTGGTCCACCGTCCGACTACTTCGTGGTCATGAAACCAACAATACCTAAAGTCAAATTCAAATGATTCAATTAGACAAGATTGAAATGACTAATTTGAAAGTGCAAAATAAACTTTTCAATCTCCTATACAAACATGTCATTCATTAATACCCGAGGATTAAATATTACAAATGAAGATAGTATAGTTTTTTTTTTTTTTCTTTTTAAAATTCAGAGTTTACAAGTATAACTATGGCGGATTAAAAATAATATTGTAACTTTATTTCCATTTATAACAAATAATTTTAGATTATGATTGTAATATAGCGCATACTATATATTATATATTATATATAGTAATGTCTGCATCCTTAGAGGTGTCTACATACATCTACATATAATTAAATGAGGGGATTAATCCTTGTGATCTGACCAAAAAAATGAGAAGATTAATCACACACTATGTTCAACTGTGAAATTCTTAGTGTTACATTAAAAAAAAAAATTATAGTACTATTTGCATATTTAGAAGTGCTTACAATTCGATCAGCGAGAAAATTAATCATCATTATGTTCGATGGTGAAAACATATAACCTAGAGTTACAGGAAAAAAAAGTTATAGTAATGCCTACACCATTAATATCAATTAGGGGGGCGGAAGATGTGTGCCCCCCTCATTAAAGGAAATTTGACTTTATTAGTTTAGTACCATTTACACGCATATTTCGTCAGCTCCTTGACTAGTGAATACCTGATTGAGTTAGGAATGCTATGGGTGAAGAAACCTTATACTTATTTTCACAATATTAACAAACAATAAGATTTTTGGTATGAGATGTGACCTAACCACGTTCATGCATTTGTAATTACGTGCGTTGTGTGTAACAGTGTAACTTACCCAATATTTAGTTAGTAGGTGAGATTAGTGCTCATAGGTCTAGGTACTAATTTATAACAGTACAATATATATATACTAAATTTTGATACGCAGTTGACCTGTTGAGAACCAATGAGGCCGCACAGCAAATCCACCTTGGCTCCCAACCCCTACTCAAAAAGTTTACTTTCATGCACCATCACTTCGTTGAGCCTCGAGAAAGTGAAAGACTAGTGATGGATACCCCGAGAGGTGTACCCAGTCAGAGGCGTGCCCAAACACTCGGGCTTGCAGCCTATTCGAGAAACCGCCGAAATTTCAAATTCGGACACGGGTACAAGTGCATGCGGCCTTCAGTCATTCGTGGCTGACCAACACGAGGTATAGACCAGGCAGTCAGGACTCTCGCGAGGGCATGTTACTAAACCCAGTCACCCACCCTTCTATAGGCATTCAAGGTCATGAGGGGCCAACCGGGTGCTGAATTCAGAGGCGGTAGAGGGAGATATCTCAGAGATTTCCCTTTTCGCCATTAGAAAAGCGGTATGATAGCTTAGTAAACTTTCTTAACATGACTTTGTATAAATACCTCATCGGCGGGGCACATTGAGGAGGGGGCTTTTGAATCTTCTAAGCAATAATATTGTCAATTTATCTCACTTTTCTTCAATTGTTTTACGGTTGTGTTGGCCCGTCATCTGGCTTCCTCATGGCCGTGAAACCAACAATACCTAAAGTCAAATTCAAATGATTCAATTAGACAAGATTGAAATGACTAATTTGAAAGTGCCAAATTAACCTTTCTCCTATACAAATAGATACTAGCTGAAAGTGTCAAAGTGGAGAGAGAGTGGGTGGGATAGCAAAGATATGGCAATGAGAAGTGAGATTTTGAGAAAGGAAGTACTTCCATTTGCAGCAATGATAGTAGTGGTGTGTATGGAGATGGCAACATCCACAATAGCCAAAGCAGCCCTCAACTCCGGGTTGAGCCCTCTTATATACATCGTTTACTACAATTTCCTTGGCGTCCTCTTTCTTCTGCCCGGATTTATCATCCAGCGCCACAGGCCGGTTTAACAAATCAATTCCATTATATTATTTCATGTTGTTTACTTATCAAATTAATTAAGCTTCATTCCAACTCATAAGTTTACTTTCATGTTTCAGAAGGCATCCTTTACCTCTAACCTTGTATATGCTGAGCAGATGCTTAATCCTTGGCCTGCTCGGGTATTAATACTACATTCATAAGCGCTGCTAAGCTTTGTGATGAAAGAAATTGAAGGTATGAATTGAAGATCTATCTAAGAAATTTTTTATAATTATGATATTGCAGGACATGTGTGGTGATTTTGGGTTACCAAGGGCTCAACTATTGCTCCCCTACTCTCTCTGCAGGCATTAGTAACATAATGCCTGGTTTTACATTTGTGCTTGCAATGGTTTTCAGGTAAGAAAAGTCCTCTGATCTACTGTATAAGTTAAGCATGCTTTTGTCTGGAAACTGCCATGAATTGTTCTAAACTTTAGGATGGAGAAGTTTGAGGTGAAGAGAAGAACATGGCAAGCAAAATCAGTGGGCACAATTGTGTCAATCATAGGGGCATCTGTCATGACTCTATATCAAGGACCAACAATCTTGGGATCTTCGGCTATTTCGTCAGATGAATATTCCTCAAGTTGGGTGGTGGGAGGTGTTATGATTGTAGTCGCGTACCTTTTTGCATCTGGGTGGAACATTCTTCAGGTACAATATATATAATTGAGTATGAATAATATGAATTATCCCATTAATACACAACTAATTTCATTTGAGTTTTGAATCATATCTGCAGACAGCTACACTAAAGGATTACCCAGAACAGAGTACAGTAGTGTTCTTCGGTACTTGCTTTGCTAGTATCCAATGCGCAATTGTTTCAGTACTACTAGAAAAGAAGCTGGATGCTTGGAAGCTGCAGCCTGGCATTGGAATGGCTGCCATTGTTGTTTCTGTAAGCAAGAATTTAAATTCATAATTAGATCAGATTTTGGGTTCCGATCCGGTCTTGCTATATATATTTTTCTTATACCTTCCAAATATTTGGTTCCATTTGTAGGCGGTTTTAGAGCCTCTGTGTAACCAAAATATTACTGCTTTCTGCTTGAACATGAAGGGTCCGCTTTACGTTGCCATGTTCAAACCCCTGGGAGTTGTCATTGCAGCAATTCTGAATCTCCTTTTTCTTGCAGACGCTCTTCATTTAGGCAGGTAAACACTCACAATTATTTGCAACTTTCATCCCTCCACTATCATGTCGTGCCCGAGTGTGAGGTCTTAGATGTTGAGCATATATATAATATATAAACATAAATTTGTAATCAAACTATCAACTTAGACTTGAAAGTTGAAACACATGTTTCAATTTGATATGAGAACCCAGACAAAGGTAATGGTTTCCAATATCCGCCTCACTTGCGTCACCCGATAATAAATTTATAATCCAACAACTGAAAACTGAGCACATGCCCCAATTCTAGCGGCAAGGAAACAGATCCTTATCAGTGAGACAGGTCATGTCAATATATATATATATATATATATATATATATATATATATATAATACTTATACTAGCAAATGTAATATTAAATTATGAATAAACCGTTCCTTACGTATTATAAGGAAAAACATAATAATCTTGAAGACAAATGTAATATTTTTATATTTTGATGTAAAAATATTACTTTTTTCCATTAAAAGTATTACGGAGTATATTTTTTTTCCATATATGTAATAAACATTTTATTACTGATTTTTTTTTTTGAAAATCATTTTATTACTGATTTAGTATTACATTTACTAGTATAAGTATTACATTTCATTTTAATCCGACGCGGATAAGAATATGTGGGACAGTCTTACACAAGTTTTTACCATTAATTAAAATCTATTTATAACGTACGTTTTGACAGTATTATTGGATCAATAATCGTTATTGTTGGATTCTACGTGGTGATGTGGGGCATGTCGAGACAGCCACTGGAAATTTTACGTGAAAGTGAAGCTGCTAATGAATCATCCCATCTGCTACAAAAGTAAACCGGCCTGGCCTCATCATCATCATCATTTACTTAAAATTAAAGATTCCATTAAAGTAGCTAGTGATAGATGAGGCCAATACTGATAAATGTTCTGTAGTAGTGAACTTTATTTGTGGTGGAAAAAACACACTGCGGTAGTTGCACGTGTTAGGTTGCATCAATGCTCCAAAGTACATTTACATGACATGATAGTGATTGTGATTGGTGCATGGAGGTATTTTCTACTATGTAATATATCCTCAAGATGAAAATAATTCAATGTTTTTTTTTTTTTTTTTGAGGAAAATATTTCATTCATTAGTATTTGAAGATAAAATATTTCAAATGAAGATAGGAGGGTTGAAGAACCACTCCGAGCAACCAGACATATAAATGGGATGCTTAGCTAGGTACAACATGAACAGTCTGATTTGCAGATCGGTTGGCAAAAGATACAAACTCATTTAACAAGATTTTGATATTATAAAGGATTAAATGAAAAGAAGAGTCTCCTTTTAACAGACTACAAGACTTTGAACTACTCACAATGAATCTGTTTCAATATGCACATTGTCATAGTTGTATTCCTTCAATGCAACCCGTTCAAAGCTTCACGGATATAGTAACCACCTTGCTTCTCTAGGAGAGAGATTAGCCCTAGCTTTCCATTGAACTCCTTTCAATTCGTTACAGTAAAATTATCATGGTGATTATGTAACACCCAACCAAACCCCATTGCGGCATAATTATCTGAGTATATATAGTTCATTAATTCTGGATATATAGTTCAAATATGCACAACATAATATCGTTAACGACAATCGAAACTGATTTTTTTTTTAAAGTCGGACGCGCGTTTTTAAATAAAACGACGCGGTTTTTACAACCGTATACACTATGCATGGTGCATATGGTTGCACGGGATAATTTGCCGGTCTAGGCCAGGCCAGGCCACATATATCGGGTTTGTCAACAATATAATGGCCCTAATCGTTTCTTCATCATATCCCAACTCAAATCAGTATTATATTGTTTTTTAGGGAATCAACGTACACAATCATTTTCCAACCAAGGATAGATAAGGAAAAGAAATCACTTTACAAGCCTCCAAGAAAGGTAGAATCTGGGAAATATCTTGCTTTCTATATCCTTGAAACCAAAGACTCAGGATTCTAAATAAGTACCCATCTCCAGGATTAATGCTTGATTAGTCTTGGAGAATATTTTCATGCACTAAATATCTTTTATTTAGGTAATATTCCTTTTGTATTTAGCTGCTACTATTTCCTTGTTATATATTACCTTTCGAGTTTCCTTCTTTCTAAGATTTTAACCTGTATATATATATAATTGTCTTTGGTTAAGTAATGAAATATGACAATGGGAACAAGTATTTGAAGAATATCCCATTTAACCTGTATAAGAAAATCCCGTTTACTTGCTGCTCAACTTCAAAATGGAGATTGCAGCTTATTAACTTGGCGTTTCATTTTGAAGTGGAGCAGCATGTAAACGGGATTTTTCTGAACTTCTTTGAGTTTAATGGGACTGCTGAGTCTGGTGGATATATGGTTGGAAAGGACAACCTTTGAGGATATATATTAATATCATCTACGATTCTCCGACGAGTATAGTGTTCTAAATTTTCAAATTACCACCTCTGGTCCTTCGAGTTTCAAATTGTTACCCTCCGTAGTCCAAAGTTAACCACTTATGGTCCTTCGACTTTTAAAATTTAACCAGTTGCGGTCCTCCTAGAAGGACCATGTATGGACTTAGGGATGGCAATGAGTCGGGTGTGGGTCGGGGAGGGCTACATCCATCACCCGACCCACCTTATATTTTCTCCACCCACCCCCACCTCTAACCCGCACCGGGTGGACTTTTTCAAAACCCATCTCACCCCCACCGAGTGCGGGTATCCACCACTTATCATCTTATGTTTTTCAAAAATAATATTTCAATTACTTACATATAATAAAATAATAAAATTCATTACTGATACTAAAACATAAAATAATAGAAATATTTAAATATAATAACTAAATTGTTAATTTTTAAAAATAAACTTAGTAGTTTAGATATAAAAAATAGTAAAAAGATATACGAAGTTATTTAAACTTTTATAAATAACAATGCTGGGTTGGGTGGGGTTCTAGGCGGGTTTTGTACATAGAACCCGAATCCAACCCGACCCACCGCGGGTTTACTTTTTTAAGACCCACCCCAGATATACGAAGTTATTTAAACTTTTATAAATAACTACATACTAGTACTTATTTTGCTATTATATATATACACACACATGCTGGGTTGGGTGGGGTTATAGGCGGGTTTTGTACATAGAACCCGAATCCAACCCGACCCACCGCGGATTTACTTTTTTAAGACCCACCCCCGATCCACCACCCACCATCACCCAAAAAAACTCAATCCATGCGGGGTGGATTCGGGTGAATATCCACGGGGTGGATTGAAATTGTCATCCCTATGTATGGTTAAAATTTGATAGTTGAAGGACCTTGTGTGGTTAACTTGGACCACGGATGGTAAAAATTTAAAAGTTGAAAGACCATAAGTGATAAGTTGAAAGTTTAAGACTAAACATGGCAAAATCACTATACTCGCAGGATCCTAGATGGTATTAAGTCTAAAAAATATGAACATAATTTAAAGATATAACCTGCGGTAGATGGTATAAGTTAGGTAAATGGTTGCATCAATTGTGTGTTTGCCGCTCATTAAAGGCAATTTGCTCATAGGTACTAATTCATAACAGTAGATCGATTACCAAATCTGATACCTTAAAGTCAAATTCAATAACTGATTCCATTAGACAAGTTTGACAATGACTAATTTGAAAGTGTCAAACTGCAGCGGGTGTGGGTGGGATAGCAAAGATATGGCAATGGGAAGTGAGATTTTGAGAAAGGAATATTCGCTTCACTCGTGTCATCGGATAAAAAGAACATAAATTTACGAGTAAAAGATATTTTTGGTCCTAGACTTATAATGACACGGACAATTTTAGTTTTTTATAAAAAAATCAGACAATTTGTGGACACTCTTATTGTGATGAGGACAATTTTGATCCCCGTCACTATTTCCGGTAGATGCTTCGTTTGAGTGGGGTATTTGCGTCTTTTCATCATAAAGATTTGTTGCAGCAGTTGCACCGCGTCTCTCCCTCTTACTCCGTGAATACCTAACAAAAATGACGAAGAAAATCCCTGATAGAACCAGGGACGGAGGGAGAAGGGGGGCGGCTGCCCCCCTCACCCCATCCCCACCCCATATATAGTATTTGTATGTATATATGTATATATAGTACATGTTTTAGTATTAGTATAAAAAAACTATAAAATGTTAACAAGAAGTGAGTTAGAGTAGGTGGTAAAGCACATCTTTGGTAATAATAATAAGGTTAAGGGTTCTAATCTTAGCATCAACATAGTTTTACAATTCTTTTTTAATAGCTTTTTTAATATTACACACACACTCTCTATAATAAGATGTGTAATTTCTAATGTGTTTTCTATTCAAATTCTTTTATTAATTATGTTTCATATTTTGTTATGAATATTTTTATAAAGTTTCGATGTGTTTTATTTTTCGTCCATATCCAACAATATTTACAATTATATTTCTTAGGTAGTTTATTTATTTATTTTTAAATTATCTCTTTTGTTTTAATGTTTCGCCTTTTCTGGAAAAATTTTCTGAATCCGTCTGTACTGTTTCGCCCCCCCTCAACCGAATTTCTGGCTCCGTCCCTGGATAGAACTAGTACCCCTGTCGCAGTAAGACACTGAAAGGTAGTGGACTCATGAGAAAGGAGAAGGAATTGCAATTGAGAACGACACTCGAAAAGTCATGGAACGCCGATTCATGAAATTCCTCTGCTTAGAGGCAAGTCTTCAACCTCTCATAATCCTGCTTGGACAGAAGAGTGCTCCGCCTCTTCGATGAGAATCGTAACCAGTCTCATCTTCCATTGACTATAGTTGACCTTGGGTATCAAGCAAGGATACAGAAGCCACCGACTTAGAAAGAATTACTAATAATCTGGCGTTAATGTACAAGTAGATGTTCACGAACACCGGAATAGCCCCCACGTGCCAATCCACAGGTGGGTGGGCAATCCGAGGAGGAAGAACGACGAGGATATGGGAAACTTCTACTCCGCCGGTCGTGATATCTCCTTCTATTGCCACCATGCAAACGTTGACCAGATGTGGATGATATGGCTGCAGCTCAGCGGCCTTGGCCGGAAAAGGAATTTCACGGATGCTGATTAGATCAACGCCAGCTTCTTCTTCAACGACGAGGACGTGCAGCCGGTGCGCGTGAGGGTCCGGGACAGCGTGGACAACCAGCAAATGGGATATGATACAAATACGAATTCGCAAACCTGCCATGGACAAACAGCAAGCCAGTTCTCAGACCGCGACGGCGGAGAGTGGTGTTGCTCTCCAGTGCTCCGTACGTCGCCACTGTCTTTCCGGTGACTCTTGACAAGGTGGTCTAAGTAAAGGAGGCATGATTAAAAGACGCAAATACCCCTCTCAAACGGAGCATCTAACGGAAAGAGTAACGAAGGATCAAAATTGTCCTCGTCACAATAAGTGTGTCCACAAATTGTTTGATTTTTGTATGGAGGACTAAATTTGTCCGTGTCACTATAAGTCTAGAACAAAAAATATCTTTTACTCTAAATTTACCATCCAACTATCAATTGAAACGAAATATGTGCCTTAATTCGGGGGGGGGGGGGGGGGGGGGGGGGGGGGGAGAGATTATCGTCTTTTGTGGGTAAAAATTTGCAATTTTCAAGTACATGTAGATTGTAATTAATCAGTTAATTAAAGTCGCTAGTGATAGATGAGGCCAATACCTGTCTCTCCTTTGTTATGTAGTGAACTTTATCTCTGCGAGAGTTGTACGTCTTTGGTTGCATGCAAAGCTCCAAAATACATTTACATGACCTGATTGTGATTGTGATTGGTGCACGGAGATGGACGATGCTAGATGCACCAACATTACCACTCGTAATTTTGTCACTCTATCTTTGACGTGTCAAGTTTCTAAGAGGTTGACATTTAATTTTTTTTTTTTTTTTAAAAGCCTATTAAAATTTGCCACATACATCGAAAAGTAACAAATTTCTGAGTAACATTTATAGGGATCAGATAAATATAAATAGCATTTTCCTTTCTCCTGGGATTTCACTGCTGAAAATTATGGAATTTTCGACCACCTGAAAGTGATCTTAAATCAAGTCGAAAGTAAAAAGTGATCGGAAATAGCAATAAAGGTTTTTCCGAATACCAAAAGTGGTCGGAACAAGGCTTTCGACTTGATTTAAGATCACTTTTAAGTGGTCGGAAATTCCATAATTTCCAGCAGCGTTTTTGGAGTGGTTTTTGAGTAGTTTTTGTATGTGCATCTGATTAGGAAAAAGAAAATGAGAAGAAATAAAAAATAGATAAAAAAAAAAACAAAAACAAAAAAAAAGGTAATTAACGCGCCCAGATGGTGCTTGCAATGCATACACCAGGCTGGGCGCGAATTATATTATTCTTCACGCAAATGGCGTGGAGCTATTCCTTTCCTCAGCTGGCCCCCAAAAGCTGACAAAAACTAACCCCAAATGAAGACGACTCCATACATTATCTCACTTGCTTCTCTTTCGTCCATATTGACATTTTTTCCTTAAAAACCGTGAACAATACTCCTAAGGGGACCGTTTGGTTCACGGAATGTTAGATTACCTCAGGGAATGTTAGATTGCTGGGAATGTTAGATTGCTGGGAATGTTAGATTACTGGAAATGTTAGATTCCTGTGTTTGGTAAAAATTGAGGTACGTAATATAATCATGTTTGGTTTAGGGTTATCTTATATATATATATATATATATATATATATATATATATATATATATATATATATATATATATATATATATATATATATATATATATATATCACTGTTGCAAAAATCGGTCTAGGCACCCCTAGACCGTGGCGATTTCCCCCCTAGGCGCTCGTCTAGGCGTCCGCCGCGCGCCTAACTCGGCCGCCTAGGCAACCGCCTAGCGTCTAACTTAGCCGAGTTAACTTGTCCATTTCAGTCGAGTTAACCCGATCAGCTCGGCCTTGCTAATTCTTTTCATATATATATATATATATATATATATATATATATATATATATATATATATATATATATATATATACACACTATTTGACTAGTTTGATACTTTGAATCTATGGATGATTGAAGTATTTGAGTATTTCATATTTGAGTATTTTTAATTTTTAATATTGTTTTAATGTTATATATGACTTATGAATTATCATTATTTCATTTATTTGGATGTGTTATTTGATTGAATGTTGAAAACATTCTCATTAAAATTGTTAAACTGCAAGTTTGCCAATATTTTTTTAGTGCCCGCCTAGGCGCTGCCCGGACGCCCAACTAGCACCTAGCGCCTATTGCAACCATGATATATATATATATATATATATATATATATATATATATATATATATATATATATATATATATATTTATTTATTTATTTATTTATTTATTTATTTATTTAAATAATTAGAATTAAAAATGACAAAATTTATAAATATCCAAGGTTATCTTACATAACCTAAGAAATTGAAGAGAATCACAATCCCTTCAAAATCCTATGTGGAGGGAATGTTACATAAACAAAGGAATGTAAGCTCGGGAATATCACATTCCCTTGGTTATGTAATATAACCTGAACCAAATGCCCCCTAATGGGGATGCTCTAATATTGAAATTTATCTCAATCTAAAAATTGGTAAAGGTCGATGTAATATATACTTCTAGATGAAAATAATTCAATGTTATCATCAACAAATGTAGTACGTACTTATATACATGTATTAGTTTTTAGCATTGCGCGTACAAAATGCTAGTTTTTATTATACGTAACATTCAGGCTTTAAAATTTTAATTTTTAAGGCACGAATTTCATATAATTGAATATATATATATATATATATATATATATATATATATATATATATATATATATATATATATATATAGAGAGAGAGAGAGAGAGAGAGAGAGAGAGAGGGGAGGGTTCAAATGCGGTGGTGCCGCGTCACCAATAGTTCACACTACAAGAAAAATGCACATAGACAACGATTTTTCACCGTTGTCGTAGGGGTAAAATTTCTGTTGTTGAAGTCAGTGTTGTTGTAAGTCCCGCTCATAAATAATGGTTTTTAACCGTTGTCTTTTCTATAAACAAAACGGTTTTTGAACCATTGTCTATTGAGTGTTGTTGAAACCGGTGTTGTTAAAAGTCACGCACATAGACAACGGTTTTTAACCATTGTCTTTTCTAGAAAAGACAATGGTTTTTGAACCGTTGTCTATTGAGTGTTGTTGAAACCGGTGTTGTATGGTAAAAGTTACGCATATAGACAACGGTTTTTAACGTTGTCTTTTCTAGAAAAGTCGACGGTTAAACACCATTGTCTATTGAGTGTTGTTGAAACCGCTATTGTGGAATCAGGTATCGAACTATCAGTGTGCACACCCCTGACCAGGATTCCAAACCTGGCGGGCAGTATCCAACCTAGTAACTCGGGAATATCAACCTCGTTACTTCATATCGGATCGCAATGTCCGTTTCTTTCTTTACTTTCTCTTTTCACTATTTTGTCGGTTCTATCAGATCTTATCTCTTTTCTTCCGAAAAGACATAGTCCTAACGGGCCTCCAAAATCTCGGTTTACTACACTAGACACATTCACACATATAGATATAACTCATGCATTTCTACTCATGCAACACTTTACTTATGCAAACTTATGCACATAGCTTCTCAACAACTTCTCTTTTCTCACAAATTAGAAATCATTTATCATTCAACTACTCAATGCAACTAGATAATGATCTTCCGAAATAGATATAAGTTTTTGAAAATAGTACTTAGGCTCACACTGGCCACTTATGCACTTTAAAACATGGTATGCTCAAATATGCACTTTACTGTAAAATGTGCTTCAAAATTTCTTTCACTGTGAATTCTCAACAATTGTCTAAACATGCTTATAAATCATAACTTAGCAATTCTTCTTTGGAAAACACTTAACAAGTATTCAACATGCACTTGAACTCAAAATACTCAACAAAACTCATTCACTGTAATCTAGTATTCAAGAAGAACATGCTATGTACACTTCAACATTTAATATTTTTCGCAAAATTTTCAACAAGTCATAACAGGCATCTAGGCATACTTTTCTAACATAACTCATCAAATATTGATCATATTTCTTAATCTAACAATCATATAATTTGTCATGCTTTTCAAACAAATAGCCAAGACCAAACACTTAGCATTTTCATTCACTGTAATTACTCTCAGACAACTTCTGTAGCATATTTCTTACAATTTCTATCACAAAATGCTCAATTCTACTCCGAATTCAATGAAATCAAATTCTACTCGTGCGTCGTGACGATCCCGAGTGTTCGAGCCTCAAGGGAACGCGAGTTCCAGTCCGAAACGACACGTAGCTGAGCCACAAGGGCTCGACCACTGCACAGATTTTGCCCAACGGGACTTGCCAATGGTCCCTGCCTAGGGCCGTTGGCTAGTCCCGTGTCTCATATGGTGCACACTGTTTTGTGCACCAGTGAGCTTCTCCTTCACCTGTAAGACATTTTCAGGCAAATAAAGACTCTCAAATCATCAACAACACATCATAGATCACTTAATAGCTCAAACACATCAATATTTTAGCATTTCTACTCATTTCAATCACTAAAATGGACTTCACAGAGTCTAGAAAGCTTATGGGAGTCCATGGGGTTATACCTTCGTAGATTCCTCCTTTTGGCTGGGATTCCACCTTCTTCCCAAGCTAGCTACACCCTCCTTCACCCCCTAAACATCTCAAACAAACCAACACAACAACCTTAGGACTAATTTCTCAGAGATAAGATAGAAGGAAGCTAGAAGGTATGAAAACTAGAAGGGAGATAGGTGAATGGATGAAAAAGAATGGTGAAATCTTACTGTGTTGCTTCTTGTTCTTGCAGAGCTCAAAATGTGGGAAGCCAAGAGTGGAATCAGGAGAAAATATTGGCTTACTATTCCTTTATATGGGTGCAAAACCTTAGGAAGATACTCAATGATTGGTGGAGGTAAGGTGGTAATTTGGTGGTTGTTCTACAAGATCAGACAAGGGGTTTTGGATGGTTGTGGTCTACCAAGCTTCACGGACCAAGGTCTAGAATCAAGATTTAAAATAGTTTGTGGTTGAAAATGAATTTTCCCAAAAATGATTTCTAGATGAACACTTGATTTAGGCTTCTCAGATTTCTCCCGGTTTCACTCAGAATGATTTTTCAGTTCAAAACTTGGAACGCAATGTACCCGAAAATTTAGGATTTTAAATTTAAATCATGTCCCAGTGTTAAATTTATTTAAAAGTGGCTCAAAATAATTGATTCAAACACTAATTTTATCGCAAAAATTTTTATAGAGTGAAATTGGCTATTTTGGAATTTTTTAAAGCCGAATTTATAAAATTAAATTTTAGGTTGTCACATCTGTGCCCCTTAAAGATACGCGGCCCTTAAAGATACGCAGCCGACCTGTCATGAACCAATGAGGCTGCACAGCAAAGCTGCCTTGGCTGCCAACCCCTACTCAAAAAGTTTACTTTCCCGCGCCATCACTTCGTTGAGCCTCGAGAAAGTGAGGGACTAGTGATGGATACCCCCGAGTGGTGTACCTAATCTGGGGCATGCCCAAGCACTCGGGCTTGCAGCCTATCCAAGAGACCGCTGAAATCCCAAATTCGGGCATAGGTACAAGCGCAGGCGGCCTTCAGTCATTCGTGCCTGACCAGCACGAGGTATAGACCAGGCAGTCAAGACTCTCGCTAGGGCACGTAACGTTACTAAACCCGATCACCCACCCTTCTATAGGCATTCAAGGTCGGGGGGAGGGGGGGGGGTGCAACTGGGTGCTGAATTCAGAGGCGGTAGAGGGAGATATTTCAGAGATTCCTTTTAGATATTGGACGAGATTTCCCTTTTCACAATTAGGAAAACAGTATGATAGCTTAGTAAACTTTATTAACATCAAATTTGTTAACTATTTTCTTTACTAGCTTGGTAGACCTTGTATTTACCGTACCCCATCGGGGCACATTGAGGAGGGGGCTTTTGAATCTTTTAAGCAATAATATTGTCAAATACATAGTCAAATTCAAATGATTCAACTAGACAATATTATTGCTTTCTCCTATACAAATAGATACTATATACGCAGCTGAAAGTGTCAAACTGGAGCGAGAGTGGGTGGGATAGCAAAGATATGGCAATGAGAAGTGAGATTTTGAGAAAGGAAGTACTTCCATTTGCAGCAATGATAGTAGTGGTGTGTATGGAGATGGCAACATCCACAATAGCCAAAGCGGCCCTCAACTCCGGGTTGAGCCCTCTTATATACATCGTTTACTACAATTTCCTTGGCGTCCTCTTTCTTCTCCCCGGATTCATCATCCAGCGCCACAGGCCGGTTTAACAAACCAATCCCATTGTTTACTTATCAAATTAAGCTTCATTCCAACTCATAAGTTTACTTTCATGTTTCAGAAGTCATCCTTTACCTCTATCCTCGTATATGCTGAGCAGATGCTTAATCCTTGGCTTGCTCGGGTATTAATCCTACATTCATAAAGCGCAGCTAACAAGAAATTGAAGGTATGAATTGAAGATCTATCTAAGAAAAATTTATAATTATGATATTGCAGGACATGTGTGGTGGTTTTGGGTAACCAAGGGCTCAACTATAGCTCCCCTACTCTCTCTGCAGGCATTAGTAACTTGATGCCTGCTTTTACATTTGTTCTTACAATGGTTTTCAGGTAAGACAAGTCTTCTGATCTACTGTATATGTTAAGCACAGAATGCTTTTGTCTGGAAACTGCCATGAATTGTTCTAAACTTTAGGATGGAGAAGTTTTGAGGTGAAGAGAAGATCATGGCAGGCAAAATCAGTGGGCACAATTGTGTCAATCATACGGGCATCTGTCATGACTCTATATCAAGGACCAACAATCTTGGGATCTTCGTCTATTTCGTCTATTTCGTCAGATGAATATTCGTCAAGATGGGTGGTGGGAGGTGTTATGATTGTAGGCGCATACCTTTTTTGCATCTGGGTGGAACATTCTTCAGGTACAATATATATAATTGAGTATGAATAATATGGATTATCCCATTAATACACAAAACTAATTTCATTCGAGTTTTGAATCATATCTGCAGACAGCTACACTAAAGGATTACCCAGAACAGAGTACAGTAATGTTCTTCGGTACTGGCTTTGGGAGCATCCAATGCGCAATTGTTTCAGTACTAGTAGAAAGGAAGGTAGATGCTTGGAAGCTGCAGCCTGGCATTGGAATGGCTGCCATTGCTGTTTCTGTAAGCAAGAATTTAAGTTCATAATTAGATCAGATTTTGGGTTCCCTATATATATATTTTTCTTATACCATCGATCCAAATTAAAGATTTGGTTCCATTGTAGGCGGTTTTAGAGCCTCTGTGTAGCAAAAATATTGCTGCCTTCTGCTTGGACATGAAGGGTCCGCAGTACGTTGCCATGTTCAAACCCCTGGGAGTTGTCATTGCAGCAATTCTCAATCTCCTATTTCTTGCAGACGCTCTTCATTTAGGCAGGTAAACTGTAAACACCATACCTCCACTCACAATTATTTGCAACTTTCATCCCTCCACTATCATGTGTCGGGGTGTAGGGTTGTAGGTGTTTGAGCATATAATATATAATTATAAATTTGTAATCAAACTATCAATTTAGACTTGAAACACATGTTTCAATATAGTATCAGAATCCACCATTGAGAAAGGTGATGTGTTCGAATATCCTCCTCACTCGTGTCACTCTATAAAAAGAATATAAATTTATAATCCAACCGGTTGAAACTGAGCACATGCCCCAATTCTAGGGGCAAAAAAGTGGATCCTTATTTGTGAGACACGTCATGTCAATATATATATATATATATATATATATATATATATATATAATACTTATACTAGCAAATGTAATATTAAATAATCATGAATAAATGTTCATTACTTATTATAAGGAAAAACATAATGATTTTGAGGACAAATGTAATACTTTTATATTTTGATGTAAAAGTATTACTTTTTTTCCATCAAAAGTATTATATTCTTTTTACATATAAGTAATAAACATTTTTTACTGATTTAGTATTGCATTGCTAATATAAGTATTACATTTGATTTTAATCCGACCTGTCTCACGATTAAGGATATGTGAGACCATGGACGGAGCCAAAGGGGGGCAGGGGGGTCAGCTGCCCCCACTCACCCCACCCCCACTCCCACCCCATATATAATCTTTGTATGTATATGTGTATATATAGTACTTGTTTGAATATTAGTATATAAAAATTGTTGATTATCAATAGGAAATGAGTTAGATTAGTTGGTAAAATATGTGTTTGGTTATAATGAAGGTCAATAGTTCAAACCCTTTGTTTGTTAATATAATTTTGCAGTTTTTTTGGCTCTTTCCCTATCTATGACTTTAATAGAGTCACGTTTTAATAGCTTTGTTTTATGTTTTGTCTATGTCCAATAATATTTACACATATATTTCTTAGATACTTTATTTATTTATTTTTTAAATGTTTCGCCTTTATTGAGTTTTCTTTTTGAATCTGTCTCTATTTCGCGCCCCCCCCCCCAACAAAATTCCTGGCTCCATCCCTGTGTGAGACAGTCTTAGACAAGTTTTTTCCATTAATTAAAATCTAATTATGACGTACGTTTTGACAGTATTATTGGATCAATAATCGTTATTGTTGGATTCTACGTGGTGATGTGGGGCATGTCGAGAGAGGCACTGGATATTTTACGTGAAAGTGGAGCTGCTAATGAATCATCCCATCTGCTACAGAAGTAAACCGGCCTGGCCTCATCATCATCATTTACTTTACTTGAAATTAAAGATTCCATTAAAGTAGGTAGTGATAGATGAGGCCAATAATACTACTGCTTCATCGATCTATCTTTCCTTGTTTGTTCTGTAGTAGTGAACTTTATTTGTGGTGGAATAAACACATTGCGGTAGTTGCACGTGCTCGGTTGCATGAATGCTCCAAACTACATTTACATGACATGATTGTGATTGTGATTGGTGCATGGAGATATTTTTTACTATGTAATATATCCTCAAGATGAAAATAATTCAATGTTTTTTTTTGAAGGAAAATATTTCATTCATTAGTATTTGAAGATAAAATGTTACAAATGAAGATAGAAGGGTTTAAGGACCACTCCGAACAACCAGACATAGCAATGGAATGCTTAGCTACAGCATGAACAGATCCGTGGATCAGTTGGCAAAAAATACAAATAATACTTGAGTAAACTCATTTAATAAATTTTTGATATTATAAAGGATTAAATGAAAAGAGGAGTCTCCTTTTAACATACTATAGACTTTGAACTACTCGTAGTGAATCTGTTTCAATATGCACATTGTCATAGTTGTATTCCTTCAATGCAACCAGTTCAAAGCTTCACGGATATAGCAACTGATGCTGGACAAGGAGAACAGGAAGAACACAAACACTAGAACTCAAACTCAAAGACTTTCAATTATATTCAAACTTAAACATCTCAATACCAAAGTCGGTTTAAATAGACAATTAAGAAAACTGAAGAATTGCAAATAATAAAAGCATGCATGGGAACTACAAAATAAACATAATGAGAATAATAACATTTAAAGCTAATTTAGATTTTCCGTAAAAAGTAGCCACCAAACTCTATGTCTCTTAGACTTCATGAATGTGACCATTTTTCTACTATTTCCTCAATTCCTGTTCCGCATCATTCTCTCTTGGTTGCAAAAGACTCGTCCCGAGTCGTCAAAATACATTCTCCCTTGATTGCAAAAGACTCGTCCGGAGTCGTCAAAATAAAGTGTTACCTCATTGGAGTGATATATGAAAATATAGCATAGTACCTTCAAATTTCCCTTAATTGTTTTTTTTTTTCGTACCTTAAAATAACCATATCTCTTAAGATTCAATCTGTGAGATATTCTTGCACGCGCAAACTTCTTTCTTAAAAAGAGCATATCCTCCCTGCTAATTGTAAAAACTTGTTTGCCATGAAATGCCCATGTCCTATGTTTACCGCTAGTAGATATTATCTTGTCTTTGATTTCCCTTTGTATCATGACATTTTCTGAAGCTTCAATCTTCACATCTCTAGAATTCTCTTGATGCCAGTAACCATTAGCAGACATGGGTTGTTTTGGGTACACAGTAGCACCAATGACCTCCCACCTTACAATGTCTTCATAACTTTTATCAACCTCCATTGTGTACATTTTTGGTTGAGTTTCAATTTCCCAGCCAAGGTGCCGATCAAGGACGTTGGAATTGATGTTATGGCAGTTTCCATCATCAATGGTAAGCTTACACACTTTACCGAACATGCTGCCGTAGGCCCTAAAGATGTTGTGTTGGTTGGGACTAAAGATGTTGTGTTGGTTGGGACTCTTCTCTTCTGCATATAAAAGGCGCTGCATACAAGAATTCAAATGATCTCCTACTTCTGCTGCAACTTTAACATTGAATTCCCCATAGACATCCCCTTCTCCATCATCCTCAACATATTCTTTTGTGAGATTAGCAGACATTCGAACTCTACACTCGTCTGAGCAATGATTATCTAGCTCCCCACATTTGAAACAATTTCCAATTATCAGTGTGGTGTTAGAGTTCTGGTATGGTTTCTTTGTAGAGGCCTTGCCACTCGACTTTGTTGAAGGGGTTATTCTAGATGGGTCTGCATTATTTGTGGCTACAAACTGGAAATTGCAAGAATTGTTGTAAATAGTGTGCTGTAGTGTCTCATAATTTGAAGACCATGGGTGTACAATTGTTGGCGGCTTTTGTTGGTTGGACTGTGAAACAATAGCTTCAGCTTGCAAAGTCATATTGTAAGCCTCATCTACGGACCAAGCATGATTTTGGCTCATCTTTTCCTGTATGGCACATCTCAAACCATTTATATAACGAGCAGCTTGTTGTTTCGAAGTTTCAAAGAGATTGCAACATGCCCCTAGCCAAAAGAACTTTTCAGTGTATTCAATGACACTCTGGAATCCTTGGAAGCAATTCTGATATTGATTAAACAAATGTTGTTGATAGTCAGGTGGTAGAAATCTACTCATCAAAAATTTTCTCATTTTTCTCCATGATCTTACTGGAGATTTCCCTTGGTATCTCCTATTATTTTGCAACATATCCCACCAGGCAGAGGCTCCCCCTCTTAGTTTACACGCAACATATTTGGCTTGCTTGTCATGGGGGATTTCCAGCATGTCTAAATAGTGTTCCACTTCAAAGCACCAGTCCAAAAAGGCTTTTGCGTCCACATTGCCATTAAAAGTGCGTAGCTCAAGATTTGGATGGTAATGGAGATGTTGTCGATGTCTGTTTCTACTCACGTGCTTTGCCGGCGGATTCCAGTCATTGATAACGCCCGGAGTTGCACCATTACCTTCTAATTGAAGATTTATATTTGCAAGAATGTTACGAATTTCTTGAAACTCGTGATTAACATTCTCACTATATATTTGAAAAGCTGCCCGAAGGCAATCCATTCCACGGTCACCGCCGAAGGATGGGTTGTTATCCTTGTTGTTGATATCGCCTTGTGCCATCTTGGGTCGTGACAAGTGGAGAGGGCTAGGCCGCTATCTCGGTTGTCGCCTAGGAACTTGAGGCTCTGATACCAACTGATGCAGAACAAGGGAAACCAAAAGAACAGGAAGAACACAAACACTAGAACTCAAACTCAAAGACTTTCAATTATATTCAAACTTAAACATCTCAATACCAAAGTCTGTTTAAATAGACAATTAAGAAAATTGAAGAGTTGCAAATAATAAAAGCATGCATGGGAACTACAAAATAAACATAATGAGAATAATAATATTTAAAGTTAATTCAGATTTTCCATAAAAAGTAGCCACCAAACTCTACGAGAGAGAATAGCCCTTTCCATTGGACTCCTTTCAATTCGTTACAATAAAATTATCATGGTGATTATGTAACACCCAACCAAACCCCATTGCGGCATCATTATTGGATCTTGTTTAGAGCAGCATCGGTCCACATTTAATTTCCTCATTCATTCCTTGTTGAGGTTTAGTCCAGGCAGGACGTTATGCTGTGTAACTGTGTGCACCATGTATGGAGTACATTGCAAAAACGACATCATTTTGACGTCTGACCTTTAAAAAACAAAATCAATTTCGATCGCCGTTAACGTCGTTATGTTGTGCATAATTTTGAACTATATAGTTCATTCATTTTGGATAATATAGTTCATTCATTCGGGATATATAGTTCAAATTATGCACAACATAACGCTTTTAACGACAATCAAAATTGATTTTTTTTTTTTTAAATCGAACGCGCGTTTTTAATCAAAATGACAGTGTGCACACGGTTGCGCAGCATAATTTGCTGTCCAGGCCAGACCACATCTATCGGGTTTGTTAACAATGGCCCTAATCGTTTCTTCATCATATCCCAAAAATCAGTATTATATTGTTTTTTAGGGAATCAACTTACAC